TGCAGGTCCCTGTTATAGCCTCTGTCCTTCATGCCCTTGGAGATTTTTTCAAATATTCCGGCATTTCGTCTTTTGGAAAGGAGTTCTGATAACACGGATTCATCTCCCCATACAGCAATCAGATCCAGTACCTCTCATTCGGTCCATGCTGGAGCTCTTTTGCGATTCCGGGACTCCATGGTCACCTGTGCTGATGAGCTCTGCATGGTCACCTGTGCTGATCAGCTCGCCACGCTGGCCAAACAGGAAATGAAATTCAAAAGTTCGGGGGCTTTTCCTGTCTACCTGGCCAGTGCATCTGAGTTGAGAGTGCTGTCCAGAGCGGTCACAATGGAGCACTCTGGGATAGCTCCTGGAGGCCAATACCGTGGAATTGCGTCCACACTACCCCAAATTCGACCCAGCAGGGTCGATTTCAGCGCTAATCTCCTTGTCAGGGAGGAGTACAGAAATTGATTTTAAGAGCCCTTTAAGTCGACAAAAATGGCTTTGTTGTGTGGACGGGTGCAGGGTTAAATCGATCTAACGCTGCTAAATTCGACCTAAACTCGTAGTGTAGAACAGGGCTGGGACACCTCCTGGAGGCCAAACCCATCCAATTACACAGCGTTGTGTCTATACTACCCCAATTCGACCCAGGAAGGTTGACTCTAGCACTTCTCCCCTCGCTGAAGTGGAGTACAGGCATCGATTTTACAAGCCCTTTAGGTCGGCAGAAAGGGCTCGGTAGTGTAGACACGCACATTATACATTCGACCTAACGCGGCATTTGTCGATCTAATGCCGTAGTGTAGACCAGGTCTTACTAGAAGTTCCCAAAAAGCAGAGTGTGCTGCAAGCACAATGGGAAAACAGGGGAAGTGTGCCATTTGATAAGGTACATGTGCTCACTTCTCCATGGAGATGGATCTACTGACTGGTGCAGAGAAGGAAGGACCACAGCCCCACCCTTGCCTCTCCACGCCTCTTTGTAGAGGCTAGCACCACTGTAGGCATTAGCCTGGAGCATTTTTTGTGCTACCTGAGCAGAACGGGGACTGTGTTAGAACCTTGCCCAGCAGTGGCACAAGAGACTGCAGAGAGAGGAGTGCTCCTTATGCCTTTTCCCTTTCACATACCCATGTGGGGCAGGCACAATCTGATCCTCATTGTCACTCCCTTCAAATATCTGCAGACAGCTATGTACCCTGCTTCGGTGTCTCTAGGGTACGTCTGCAGTAGAGCTAGGAGATTCCCAGCTTGAGGAGACATGCACGTGCTAGCTCTGACTGCACTAGTGCATTCAAAATAGAAGTGGTGTCACTGCAGCACAAGAAGTAGGAGGGGCTAGCAGCTCTGGCCACAATCCCATCTGAGCCCCCAAGCATGTACTACAGTAGCTAGGTCCTTGAATTTCTATTCTTAGTGTGCTAACTCTGTGAAGCTAGACATCTAGTTTTTTGGTTTTGTTTCTTAGCTTTCCTTATAAATCAATCCCTCCAGCCACCTAGTCACTCTTGAGGTTTTCCCTTTCATTCCCTCCATTTTGTCCTGTTATTTTAATCAGGGTTCAAGTGAACAAACATGCAAAAACTGTAACTAAATAACATGCACCTTCTGAAAGTCAGCTTCACAATCTGCAATTACAGGCAAATACACTTTCCTGTCTTTTCCTGCCTACAGTACTTCTGGAATGCAGAATTTTAGCTCACACAAGCATATGGAAAGACCAAAGGGATTTTCCCAGAAATATTAGAAATGTATACAATTGCAGATCCGCTATTTTTCACAGAATCTGGATCCTCTTCAAAGTGTCTATCGCCAGGGCCTGTCTGATAGTATTGGGGGTCTGAATGTAAAGTTTCTATGTGCTTTCATCACTTTCTCAATTCTTCTTCTTTCAGTAAATTCTTTTCCCATGTTGTCATTAAATCTTCCCAGTTTCTCTCAATCTTCCCCATCATCACTTTCCCCATGTTCTCTTTGTCTCTCTGCATTTTCTCTTAACCCTCCTTCCTTTCAATTGTATTCACTCAATCCACCCACCCAAAACCATTTAAACAAATTCTAAGAATGTGGGGGGAAATGCATGCCCCGTATTTGAACTGTCCAAAGAGGAAAACAACACCAGCTAAGAATTGGCCAAGGGCACCCTTTTCTGGATTTTTCAATTTACTACCAAAAAAATTCCAGAGGATCCTTTTAATTAGAAATGTTTTATTAAAAATGTTATAATTTCTGTAGACTCATTCACAATCTAGATTGTAGTGGAATTACAGTGAGGTCTGAATAAGGAGGAGTGCATGGCTGTGCTACCCAGAACAAACCACAGAGCGAATTAGGAGATAGTCACAATTCAGTCCTTGTCATTCCTTTACCCCAGGGGGAAATAAGCTGTACCAGATAAAGGGCTGGCATGATTTATTTCCCACTCTGTGCTAGCTCTGTTGTACTCCTCATCCCTGCAAATCCACTCTCTGGCCCCCTGCATTGGAGGGGGAGTTGCAGCCCTGCAGTGATAGCTCTCTCCTTTGCACGCAGATGGGCAATAAGGGTAACTAGGGGAGAAAGGGGGCTTACAATTAAGCCCTAAGGATTTTTGCCATGGACACTAAAAAGGGATCCAATGTTTTTTTCCTATCTGGTAAGGAATGGGCAGGTGCATATTCTTTACCGGTGCCTTGCCTACCATCCGTTGCATTCCAATGAGCTCTGTTCCGGTTACAAGCTCATTGAGGAAGCTTGTCTTGATGTCTTCTCCATTTTCTTCCCTACCTCATCTCCTATGTGTATTAGAGACTGGAACAGGATGTGCCTCTGTCTTCCCCATCTCCTTCTAGAGATGGGCCTCTGATGTCTACAGTGCAATTAAAAACCCAGGGCTAGCTACTGCCAGCTAACTGGGACTCTGGTGAAGGGGCTATTTAATTATGGGGTAGATGTTTGGGCTCAGACTGCAGCCTGGGCTTTAGGACCCTGCAAGATAGCCTAATCCTGGTACAATTTTGAAACAGTGGTCAGATTACCAATATCCTGCCTACCCCCTGAGGAGGTCCCCCCTCACACCCTCTCCCCATGGAACACTAAAACAGCCTTCTCCTTCAAGAAGGAATTCCAGTGGATAGAGAAAACTGAGGGGACTCAGGATGGAGGAGGGCTCAAATGAATTAGATGTTTCAGAGGGGGAGCAAGGGGAGAGGTTTCAGCACAGCATCACTGCTGGTGGGGAGCCCTGTTTCTCTTTGCCTTGCTACATTTTTCTCCAAAAAACATGCTTTTGTTATTAGGGCATGAAGATGAAAGAGGAGATATAACACATAGACTGCTTGTGATGGGGTAGAGTTTTATTTCAGGTAGATTTCAATAAGGGGGCCTGTCTTTTACCTGTGTAATTAAATAAAAGGGTGTATAAAGCCCCTCCCCTCTAGATTTCTATCTAGGTTTCTATCTGCATTGCAACTTACTACACCCAACACCTCGAATAAAAACAAGAGAGATTTGGAATAAGAAAGAGTCATGACAGAGGTGGTTAGATAAAGTTTGCCAAAAAATTGTGAAATTTTGTTTCTGGTTTTTATCAAATTGTCATTTTTGACAAACGTTTCCAACTACAGCTGGTTATTAACTATTTTCCATTCTTGCTCTGCACTGTGGTCAGGAATAAAACTCCTGCTAACAGTACTACCAACCCCGAGCATTCAGAAATCATGGGTCAGGCCCGGAAATCATGAGACTGATGTTTTAAAAATAACTAATCTGGGGGTATTTTTGTTTGCTGTTTTTTTGAGCCTGGAAGATTGGTATTTTCAAGCTCTTCTCCACAGCCCTGAGGACTATAAACTTACTTTTTAAAACTAAAGCTGAAATGTTCATGTAATCAGAAGACTGCTGGGGCTTTAAAAGAAAAACCAGCCTCAACAAAACAAAGAACACCACATATTACCAGACTCCCAGTAAAATCACAGGCAGTGGGCAAGGTGGATTTTCAGGAAGATACTGCTAGCTGCACCACTGACACCAGCATCCATCCTTCTGACAAGATTTAAAACAAATAAATGCCATCGGTAACCTTACTGGCGCGGAAACGAGAAGGACTGAGTGTGGACCCTCAAGGCTGGGGATTGAAGTATGGGAACTACAGCTGGTATCGAATGCAGCAGCGTGTGGCCTCACACGGGTTACCCCATAGTGCATAAAACCTGTGTCCTTCACTCAGGCCATTGGCTCCTCAAACAACATTCCATCAGATTCACTCCTCTGGGCCCTCATCTTCAGGATTCTTAGTGAGCCGAACCAGGGAAACTTAAAAGCTCATTTCATGCTCCAGGATCGGTCTACCCCAGTGCTGGGCACGGCGTAGGACCCTGACTAGAGCTGGACCAGCACTACCCTCTCGCCTATCAAACGCACCCTGCAGGTCAGGGAGCAGGCGCGCTGCTGGAGCAGACCTGCAGTACCTGTTCTGAGGAGAAGCAGCAGTTTCCCACGGGGCTATCCTCCTTTTGTGCAAGCAAAGCAACCGAACGCCTGTTCCCCCCGCTCCCCATCCCCATCCCCTGCAAGCTCTGCAGTGCCTGAGCCGCTCCTGTCTTCTGTCTGCGCACTGGCACCAGCTAGGGAGCAGTAAACCCCTCCTCTCGGACCAGGGAAATAGCTCCCGCCTCCTGGCCTGATCTCCCCAGGGGGCAACTTGGGACTTTGCTCTTGCTTGAACTCCCCGCTCAGTTCGGCCCTTGCCACCACCCGGGGAGGCTTTGTATTCCCCGTACAAAGGAGGAAACAACCCGCTCTCCCGCGCACGGAGAGGGGCAGGTGCAGCAGGAGAGGAGGCGTCTTGCTCCCAGGCAGCTGGCAGCGAACCAGGCGGGAGCCTGCGCCGCAGCCCCCTTAGAGCCCGGGCGGGCAGAGTGGAGGAGCGCGCGCGCGCAGGCGGGCGCTGGCGAAGCTGCTGCTGCTGCTGGCCTGTGTGCGCGCCTGCCTGGCTCGCGGCCACCGGCACCCAGCTCGGGTTGCATCAGACAAACCTTCCAGCTTGGGCCGCCTCCCCCTCTGCCTCTGCTTGTCCCCGGGAGCGAGGCACAGGTGTTCACTTCGCCACCGCGCTGCTGCAGCTGCTCCCGGCAAAGCCTCGGACCTGCGAGCCGCTGGCACCAAAGACCCTGCAAACATGCTGTGGAAAGCCCATCAGCTGTTGAGGAAATTCTCCACCACGGCCACAGTGAGTGTGTGAGGATGGGTTCCCGCAAGGAAAGAGCTTTGCAGGAGGCCGTAGCTCAGGAATGAGCAATAGGGTTATCGGGAGATTGGGGGGAGGGGGGTGTAGGGTCAGGACAGGCTCAGTGGGACTTGGCAAATATATTGCTTTTGCTTGCAAGACTGTGAGCATATATTTGTTTTCCGTATTTGGATGAGAAGCCGCAATAGCCCAGAAATGGGGGGCGGGAGGGGAGGACAAGTCAGCGGTGCTTGGGCAATACCTCTGCCAGGAAAGGATAAAAATAGGCCGAGATGTTATCCCATGAATTTTGGCACTGGACGGTCAGAGATCCCTTCAGGGGATATTTGACTTATTTACAAAAATAGGAACATCTTGCTTTGCCAGACTCTGGTGGATCTCGGTATATGGCGCGGATCTCGGAATAATCTCTGATACCATGCTGTGTATCGCAGGCGTCTGGGAGCTGCGACGAAGAAAATCGATGATGCTTTTGTAACATCTTTGCTTTGCAAGACTATGAACCGGCAATCAGCGGTGCTCCGAGGCTGTAATTGCTGCGAAAGACGGCTAAAGATCTACTTCTCAAAAGGAAATAGCCAGGCTTGTTCTCACTACTGTAGTCAAACTGGGAACAGGCATGGCTATTCCTTATTGAGAAGTAAACCTTCAGCTCCTGCTCCAAATGCTGGCCTTGGAGGCGTGTCAGTTTGTGAACATCAGTTCTTACACTCTGGCTGTAGAGAATTAATGCAAGGCGCGGCGGACATTTGTCTGTCTGGTGTTGGATTAAACTGCATAGCTCTGCTGGGAGACTGTGATAACGATCCACGCTGTTCTTTATGGCCGGTTAAATGTGTCCCTTAAAATTTGATGTAAAGTAGACGAGATGCTTCGGGCACTCTGGTTAAGATTCATGGATGCGGCTGAATGCAGTTTGGGGGTGGTTTTTCTCCCCCCGAAGCCCGCTCTGTGTTTCATATTTGACAGCATGACCAAGGGTGAGGACGGCTGTTTGCCTGCTGGGGAATCTGCTTTGAAGGGTTTTTACAGTAAGAGACTTTAGCCAAGCTCTTTGGAATTGCATCAGCAATGTGAATGGATGACTGACACGCTGCATACAGAGATATGGATGGGGAGGGGCAGTGCTATTGGTTTTCATTCAGAGGAGCAAGGCTTTAGTGCATGAATCCTGACACTATGTAGAATTAAAGTTACCATGTTAATGTATCCTTTGAGAAGCATTTTACATCGTTTTTAAAGAGAAGTAGCATAAAAAAATATTTCCCTTGTCATCAGTAACAGTGTCTAAATTCTTGAAGAGAATAAATATAATATTGTAACCAGAAAGGGAGCTATTGAAAAATAATCTGCAGGGAAATTGAACTGAAAGCACTACCAGTGAAACATGTTAGAGGTGCACACACCATAGGCAATTCCAGAAATATTTGTTATTTATAACAATGAAATGAATACCCTTTGCAACGTTAACTTTTCTCTTCACAAGGAGAAACTGTAGCATAAACACATTTTCACTTTTTAGTGATTTGCTTTTGATATGAGACTTGTAAGACTATTAATATATGCAGTGCTTGTGTATTCTTATTTTATGTTGCAGGAGGTGCATGGGAGAAGAATAAGAATCAGAATGGAGTAAATGTTGAAATGCTGTGTGTCATATAAACAGCCATTAAAATAAACTCTAGTAATTTTATTTTATGTAAGGTAAATCAATACCATAAAATCAATGGATATTGTAGCCAATATTTTCAAAGTATATGCCTAAAAAATTAGGCAGCTATATCTATATTTATATCTACATAAAAGAGGACTGATTTTCAGAAACGTTAAACATCCGCAACTTCCTCTGAAGCCAATGGAATCTGTGGATGCTCAACATCTCTTAAAAGGAGGCCATTTTTATTTAGATGCCCAAGTGTGGATTTGGGTGCCTATCTTTGTACATCACCTGTACAAACTAGTTTTCAGGTTGTGTGCTCTACACCGATCTTGTTCTCTGCATCTGGCTAGGGAGAATCATATCAAAGTAAAATGAGAGTGAATTTTGAGATCTTCCCATGAGTATTTTTATCCTTGTTATAATACACCTCTACCCCGATATAATGCTACCCGATATAACACAAATTCAGATATAACGTGATAAAGCAGCACTCCGGGGGGGGGGGGAGGGCTGCGTGCTCTGGCGGATCAAAGCAAGTTCGATATAATGCTGTTTCACCTATAATGCGGTAATTTTTTTTGGCTCCCAAGGACAGCGTTATATCGGGGTAGAGGTGTACAAGCAAAATAATACCATAAGGAAGAAAAAAGAAAGCAAAACCAAGTTCAACAAATGAAAATTAAATAAGAATGTTCAGACACTTTCCAAATCCCTGATCCTCTGCTCACACAGCTTTGTAAGACCATGGATATTCTCCATGTTAACAAAATTCCTCTAGAAGTTCCCTTGCAATAAAAATAAAAGGGCTCTATACCTTGTAAAATTGAGCCATCTCTCTGTCATCAGTTTGAGCTCCACTATTTTCCAGGCCTGTTGGGATAACTCCAAAAAAGAAGAAGAGAAGAAGTCCCCACCAATAATGAATAATCAAGAACCTTCCCATGAGAAGCAGTGCATCTGATAACTTTATGTGCTCATTGTCAGCTAGGTGGTTACAAGGGAAGCTCAACATTGCCTCCATAGTACCAATACATATGTCCAAAGCAATGACAAGTCCATTATCAGCAATGTATATGAGGATTGCTCTTATTAATATATCACCATATGCCACCTGCATGATTTGATGGCATGTAGTGGGCTCCTGTTTAGGAGCTAGACTATGGGACCTATCTTTTTAGTGGTCCATCCCAGAGGTGGCATTTCAATGAAGAAGTAACTACCAGGCTGTCCTACATTCCCCCATAATTTTACAGAATTTGCACTTTTATGCAGTTCTACCATGTCTCCGTATCATTTTGCTGCAAGGAATTTCCACTCTCAAAAGACTAGCAAGTTGTGTAAACAGTTTTAGAGGAAGATCTTCCAATTCCAGAACAAGACACAGGTTTGCAGTAAGATCCTCAGCTGTGTCACTCAATTGGTACTTTTAAATAGGACAAAAGGAAGCAACCAGAAGTAAAGAAAGGGATTTGTGGCCTGATCCTGCAATCCCCGTCTTGTATGGGACTCCATTGAACCCAATAGGAGTTCTATGCCTGGAGGACTTGTGATTTGGCTCTTACTTTCTACTAGCTACAAATATATGTGACCATACAATACAGGATTGCATTATCCATACTGAATGTTAATGGAAACTATGTTTGTGTCAATTCAAGGGAGAAATTATTCAAGAATAGTTGGTCATAGAGAAGTTATATATCCTTCGTGCTGGGAAAATCATTTTCAGTCGATCAACTTACTACGTATGCGATATGATGTAGCTGGATTGTTGTCAGGTTAATCTTCTTGTTCAACAGAATGCAGAAACGTAACTGTGTCTGTGTGTATGCATGCAGCATGCATGTATGAGCATTCTGTGCTCTTATTTTACTAGTTCTACCACTTTATACTTATTCTCTGCTGCTTTAAAGATTGCATCCTCTCTTTATCCCTAACCACTTCCTGGCTCAGAACTTTGCTAAACATAGAGAAATCTGTGCTCAGTAACAATTTTGGGCCAGATCCTCAGCTAGCATGAACTGACGTAATGTTGCTCCATTGACTCCAGTGGATCTACACACTGATTTACAGCAGCTCATGATCTGGAATTGTAATTTGTGTGCAGCTTCATGTAACATAAGAATCAGATTTATGTACGTATAAATTATTAGTGAATAGAGATATAAGTTTATGATTATAGAATATATGTTATTAAAAACTTGACCTGTGGAAACAAAACTGCTCTTCTGAATTAATATTTTGAGATGAGAGTGCTATTTCTAAAATATTTTTCAAGCCCCATTTACTTAGACATTGAGCATACTTATTGACTTAAAATTGCTGGTGCAGTTTTTCTTGTCTGAGTTTTCAAGAATGCAAAACAATGTGAATTTCCAAGCATAAATGGCAATTGTACTGGCAAATTGGCTAACTTCCAGACTTGCCTTCCCAGCTGCAGTTTGCTCTCTGAATCCAGAGTTTTTGTAGTCTCAGACTCCTAAATGCAGAAGCTGGCGAAGCTAAAAACTCAGACACATAAAAATACATGCATAGTTTTAGCTTCTGTTAAGGTCCCTTCAGAAATTTGGCTATTTGGGTATGCCTCTCACACTTACTTTTTGTTTTCAGGAAAGGAAGAGTTTAACTCTTCTGATGGTACTTAATTGGTCATGATTTGTGGATGATAAATGATCTATGTGGACTTTTTGTTACCTTCATTTGCTGGTAGTCCTTATTTAGTGGGGAATACACCGAAAAAGAAAAATACAAGTCTAAAAGACCACTACTTCTGTGTACTTGAGGTGCTATTGAGTGACAGTTAACAAGAGAACAAATGTAGAACAAGTAACTTGCATCAGGAGGACTTTCTCTAATGTTTTTTTCCATCACATCTATGGTGCTGCCATTGTCAATTAACATTCCATAGAAATCAGTGGATTTCATACTGTACCAGATACATTCAGTAGCACAGCAGGTGAACACTTCTTGAACTTGCCTGGAGTGTTCATAAACAGTTAAATGGTTAGAAAAACCCAATCTCAGATTTTTATAACTGGGCCTGTGTTTCTGAAAAGCGGAAGCTGAGGTGATGAAGCACTGGTAGCCAGAGTTAGCTGTGGCTATGTTGCATTGCCAGGATATAAAAATTTCAAGGGATAATGTGAACGCTGTAATTTAAAACAAGAAAGTCTTGTCTACACTAGAAAAATATGTTGCCATATTATAGCTGTTAGCACCAATAGTACAACTGTACTGGAGGTAGCAACGGTGTACACGCCAATGTAGACAAGGCTCCGGCATTTTTACTACTCCCATCCACACTGGCAACTTAGCACTGCTGCAGCTGCACCAGTGCTGTCTGATACTATAATACAGGAGGACTTTTTCTTTACTGTTGCAACCTACGGGCCAAATTTTACCCTTGGCCAAATTCATTTCCTGTTGTCTTCACTGCAAGTTGCATGCACACACCCAAGAGAACATTATGGCTCGAAATAGCGCTACAGGAAATTTCCTAATTCATGAACATTTCCTATATTCATGAACATCCTACCAATTTTTAAGACCTCTTTCTGGGACTAACTATGTAGCTGAAATACAATTTAAAATGGATCATTTCATGTCATTTGCAAAAAGTACTGCAACTGACTCTTCATCATGAAATGGTTTGTTGTTTATTTCAAAGTATTATATCTTTCAGTACCTGAATGTTTGCTAATCTATACAGGATTTGTAAGTCACTCATATGGGCAGTTCAAATCCTCTGGGACCCAAATGGTGGCCCTACTGGTTATGGTACCCTTGTGTCCCAGCTTCCCTAATGAAGAGGCAGCATCCCCGGTAGGAGAGAAGCTAGAACCTAGAGATGTCCCCTCAGGGAAAGAATCAGGAGTTGCACCTGACTATCAACTGGCACGTATAAAGAGAGCAGAGTCCTAAGAAGGCTCCTGCTGCAGCTGCTAGGACAAAACTGTTTCCCGCTCTCTGAAGGATTGCTACAAACATATGTACTTTCGTTTGCTTGTTTTTAGGGCTGTCAGGATTTTAAAAAAAATAGTCGTGATTAATCGCACTGTTAAAAGAATGCCAATTTAAATGTATTATAAATATTTTGAATGTTTTTCTACATTTTCAAATATTGATTTCAATTATAACACAGAATACAAAGTGTACAGTGCTCACTTCATATTATTATTTTTGATTACAAACATTTGCACTGTAAAAAGTTAAACAAAAGAAATAATGTTTTTCAATTCACCTCATATAAGTACAGTAGTGCAATCTCTTTATCCTGAAAGTGCAACTTACAAATGTAGAATTATTATTTTTTACATAACTGCACTCAAAACCAAATCAATGTAAAACTTTAGAGCCTACAAGACGAAGCATGAAGGGGCATACGAATGTTTAGCATATCTGGCATGTAAATACCTTGTAGCACTGTCTACAACAGTGCCATGAGAAAGCCTGTTCTCACTTTCAGATCACATTGTAAATAAGAAGCGGGCAGCAGTATCTCCCATAAATGTAAACAAACTTGTTTGTCTTATTGATTGGCTGAACAAGAAGTAGCAATTGAGTGGACAGTACTACAAAGATCTGTTATGTGAGGGAAGGACTTTGGAACTGGGCTCAGCCAGAGATGCCTTGAGTGGCTTGAACTAATGTGACATTGAACATAGTGTCAAGTCTATTGACATTTGTCATTCTTAGAAAATATTTCAATTTTCCTGCAAGAATAATAGATGAAATTAGAAGTTAGAGGGCATATTCCAGAAACTTGTGGCAGAAATGGCTAGATTTTGCTAAGAGTCTGTTTCAAAGATAAGATTTCATGGTTTGACGATCGTAGGTAGGATTTTGTTATGCCTTTTTGTAATAAGCAGTGCATGTACCTGGAGAGACTTCTGCTGATGAAATAATAAAGGAGGCAGTAACAATATCAAGTGACATTTCTATGCAAAGAAGTATGGTCTCGCTAAATTGTAGATTATATGTACTTCTTAAGAACGAGGTGGAAAAATGGGTCATTTATTTTATTCCATTATATTGTTGGGACAGAAAGACACTATTGCTTTACAAATCAAAACTAACATTGGCTAAGAAAGAGTAAGACAGAATTACATGTAGCAACGTATCTCTTCTGCATCCTAAAATGTAGTTTGCTTTAACTCTTGTTGACAGGCTTATCAACGTAAGCTAAAGCTAGCTCTGATAGGTCAGAGTATTTTTGGTCAAGAAGTGTATAGACACCTGCAGAAAGAGGGACATAGAGTCGTCGGAGTGTTCACCATTCCAGACGTGAATGGGAAAGCTGACCCTTTGGGTAAGTATAATCAATCGCAATGTGAGTATCATCATTGTGCGTAAGCACAGTTAACTTGCTTCTCCATGAGAGGGCATTGTCCTTATGGTAGTCATTTGTACGTATAGCCAGATATATAAATCTGTGCCATGTTTTTTGGCATAATAAAATAATTAACCTGGTATGCTTATTTCAGTGTTAGGTTAAATTCTATCTAGAGTTAATTGTCATGGGCTATACCACCACCTTACAATCTGCCCCATTTAAAGAGCATCTCATAGTTGCATTGCCCTGGGAACAGCTTGAGAAGCAGAGTGTCATTCAGAGCATCCTGCTTTGGGGAGGAAGTAAATTGCTGGGGTGCCAGGCCTATATTCAGCCCAGTATGTCATCTGGTTTGCTGGCATAGCTGTGCTGTCTGGCACATTGAGAGGACATGCAGCGAAGACTCCGCCTGTCCTCGGCCCCGGTCTCTCCTGACTACCTGTATGGTGTGGAGATGAAATAGCAGCTCTGCAAATCCTGCTTCCCATTGCGCACTGCAGCTTATGGTACAAGCAGACCATTCAAGAGAGTAAAGGGACAACTTATCCCCCCTTACTCCATTGCATAGGCATATAGGTATGTTCTAGTCCTTTAGAAGTAATAGTTGCTGACTGATCATATTTAGTAGTGTACTTGTGCAGTATAATTCTAGCACTGAGTCTGGAGTAACAAAGGAGTTGCTTTGAAATGGCTGTCTTAATTATAACTTTATTTTTCTCCATGGTGCCACAACAGTTAGTTAATAAGATTAACAACTACAACCACCAAAACACAATTAACCTTAGTGGCTAATCAGAATTTTAAATTACATTTAATAAACTGTTTCCAGTCACTCAGAATTCCCTGACATGTTGTTACAGGACTTCTATTAAGGAAAAGTCAACCATAAATTTTGCTTATTCAGGCAGTAACCATTCCCAAACTTGTGTATTGCTTTCAAGTTTATTAAATTCTATAGTCTGTCTCATTTAAAATAAAATTACAAAGCTTTTCACAGTTAGGAAGAATTAGGTGAGTTCTACTAGCTTAATAACAGATAATTCAGCTAGCTATGGGAAGGTACTATAGAGAAATGTTGCAATACTATGCAACCAAAGCAGTACTCACTTGGGCAAAACTTTAATTGATTTCAATCAATTATTTATTTTAGCTTGGCCATAAAATTAGTTTACTGCACACTAGGTGACAAAAAATTGGTTTGGGCTGATTGCTGCATTTTACACTCAAATGATTCAAAATAGTTTCAATTTAAGGTGGAATTTGATGATGATATTGTATGGTCAGTCAGCTGAGATTTTATTTCTAAAAGCAGAGGCAATACATGTGCAAGGACTATAGTTCAAAGAATTTTGTAAGGGTTTACATCACACATGCATACTCCCAATATACAGTGTGAAATACATGCCTAAATAAATATCTTCTGAAGGCTACTTTAATACCATCAAGATTTATTGGGTAAAACTCCACTGTTTATTTATAAAATGAAGAGATTTATAACCTAAATTAAATTAGATGGATTCTCGGGTCCACTGAGGCCACATTGTGCTTCATCTCCTGTCCCACAGGTTTTCTTAGATGCAAATGTGTCAAGGTGTAGTGTGGGCTCAGAAGAGTTCCTCTTGCAAGCCTTAATGGGCCTGTACACTCTATTACAATAGATTCTACAACATAATAGACCATGTGTCTTACCCTAATTGGTGGGGTATTGGGTCAGTCGTGCAATTGGATTTATCTAGTGTATAATAAATTCTGTTGCCCAGGTTTAGTGTACTTATTTCTTCTCTACTTCGCAGTTATTCCTGAATGTGGTTTTTTTCTTCATTTCAGAGTGGTAGCCGTGTTAGTCTGTATCAGCAAAAAGAACGAGGAGTACTTGTGGCACCTTAGAGACTAACAAATTTATTTGAGCATAAGCTTTCATGGGCTAAAACCCACTTAATCAGATGCATGCAGTGGAAAATACAGTAGGAAGATATATATACACAGAGAACATGAAAAAATGGGTGTTGCCATACCAATTATAACGAGAGTAATCAATTAAGGTGGGGTATTATCAGCAGGAGAAAAAACCTTTTGTAGTGATCATCAGGATGGCCCATTTCCAACAGTTGACAAGAAGTTGTGAGTAATGGGGGGGGGGGAATTAGCATGGGGAAATAGTTTTTACTTTGTGTAATGACCCATTCACTCCCAGTCTTTATTCAAGCCTAATTTAATGGTGTCCAGTTTGCAAATTAATTCCAATTCTGCAGTTTCTCGTTGGAGTCTATTGCGATTTTGAGGTCTGTAATTGAGTGACCAGGGAGGCTGAAGTGTTCTCCGACTGGTTTTTGAATGTTATAATTCTTGACGTCTGATTTGTGTCCATTTATTCTTTTGCGTAGAGACTGTCTGGTTTGGCCAATGTACATGGCAGAGGGGCATTGCTGGCACATGATGGCATATATCACATTGGTAGATGTGCAGGTGAACGAGCCTCTGATAGTGTGGCTGATGTGATTAGGAAATTTGTTAGTCTCTAAGGTGCCACAAGTACTCCTCGTTCTTCTTCATTTGTAACTATAGAGATGGAAGACTACACAGTGGGCCTCAGAAAATATATTTTAGGGGAGTTGTCTGTGATCATTTGAACCAGATTGCAAGATACCACTGACTGCAATGAATCTTAGGTAGTTGTATTGAAAGTCACGTACAGAACTGCTGAAGTGGAAAATTAAGTTCTGTGAAACCAAACTTATTCCAGATAGATATGATCATTAGACAAGATATGAAATGTCACGGTTAGACAGTTAATAACATTCATCATTCCATTCTGTTTGTATAGGTGCTTAATACATAGACCCAAAAAATGAATTTAATGATGGATGCAGCTGCTGCATCGCTGAGAGATTAGAACATAGCTTCTTGTTTGTTCTTTGTCCTTAGAACATTTCTGTTCTTGACTGAATATACACACAGATATGGTACTGTCCTCAGTTAACTGCATGCACTTATCTTCAGAAGAACTCTCACCCTTATTTCCAGAAAGACTTACTACCACTAGAGTCAAAGAGGAAACTCTGTTAGTTGTTTGCTATTGTAGCAGTAGTGCATATAGCCTTTTTCCAGGCCAGCCATTAGTGGGCAAAACAATGATGAATCAATGAACAGGTGAGGAGATCTAATTCTGTACAATGCAGGACAGCAGGGTGCAAGCACAAGCATGCATGTGCACACACTAGAGAAACAGAGCACATTGTAACGCCAAAAGGATTGGGTTTTTTTTCCAGGTCTATGAGGCAGGACTAAACATTGGGGGAGGGGTGGTGAATACTATTCTGCTCCCTATGTAAAGGATTTCCTTTTCCCTTCTCTGTGTCTTTAGGACTGTCATCATCTCATTAGTCATACGGCCATAGTGATATTTTTCCTTTGGAATTCTGTAAGAATCATCTACCCTCACAGGACCTTCTTACTGTGCACATAAAATTCACCTGGACTGAGATTTCCTTGCTAGAGGAAAAGACTAGGATATGCAAAATCTTGCACCCCCCCGCACACACACTATGCTAAAATAACATTATTAAGCTTGCACAGCCATTTACTTAAAAGTTAGGAAATGCAGAATGCAGATGGCCTGTGCAATCTTAATTTGGCACCATTGTGCGTATGCATTATGGTACAGTCTTTAATTACATGATGCCATATTACTTTTTCCTGCTCATTCAGTGCACAGACTGGACAGTGCTCATTTATTGAGCAGCTATTCAATATTTTATTTTTTCCTTGTTGTTCAGTGTGTGGCCCCAGGCCTTATTTACCAGACATTATTCAAACTCTGTTATGAAGACAGAATTATTACTTTCCTCATGGGTTCTTCTATGGCACATGTCACTATAGTATCTGAGTGTTTCACCAAGAGTACTGTCTTTTTCATAACACCTCTGTGAGATGAGGGAGCATCATTATCCCCAACTTACAGATAGGGAACTAAGACACAGACAATAAAGTCAAAAGTATCCACTAATTTTGGGTATCCAATCTGACACACATAGGACCTGATTTTTCAAAGTACTTAGCATTATATAGTTCTTAATATGTTCAAAACACAGCTCCCATTTGGGAAACTGCTGATTTATTTTTATTGAAAAAATGTGACTTGGTTTCCCTTCTCACCTTGTATTGTTACTTGCTGGTGTGAAGGGTTTAATTTCTTTTTTAAAATTGGGACAGCAATGCAGTAACAGAAGTCACATAAGCATGAATGAACTATCAGGAACTATCAACCTGTGAAATGAGTTGTAGAAGCATGACTTTATCAGCTTTATAAATGTCATATGTATCTTTATGGGCTAGTGATACTGTTCTAGCCCAATTAGGGAGTTACAAGGTCTTGCAGGAACTAAAATCACCAGGGCAGGGGGGTAGGTAACAAGTCTGAAGAAGTCTCATTCCTGGAGAAAATGGCATATTCTAGTTTGTCCTGGTTCCAGAGACTGCCTGACAAAGAACTGAAAATGATATAAAATGACCAACTTGTCATGGGAAGGAGCCTCTCTCATCCAATCCAAGAACTGGCATGAGACTGTGACCAATGGAACCAGGTTCTGCGAGTGGACCTGAAGCTTTAAAACATGCCAGGTCTCCATGTGGAAGAAGGGTAACACCTAGTAAGCTTGACATTCACCCAAGCTGTTTATTGTTTTTAAGGTGTGTTTTTTCTGCAATGCTTTCTTCTGAATAAATAATACTTTCCTTTATGAAGGCTGGCTGGTCCTTGCTCCTGAGAGAACAGGACTGAAGGTGCTGAACTAAAGTTACACCTGATCAGATATTCACAGGGAATTGCAGGAGAAATTGCAGCCTAAATCCCTGGTCTAGAGGGAGAGAGTTGTAGGCCTCTGCCCTAAGAGAGGTAATGCTTAGAGGCTTGAGATCTAAGTGGGGTGCCCTCAAGGAGCCCATGAAGGGGTCAGGGGTGCTATTACCTTGGGAACTGTGACACCACTAACTATCGTTACAGCTGTGAGTGCTTGGCACTTCTGTATCTCAGACTGTGAAATCTTTTTATTTACTCATTATTACCATTGTTGTTGTTTTTGTATTATTTTCTCTGGAGTCTGGACTTCGACTATACTTTGACCAAGAAATTTGGACCTTGACAAAAAATAATTGATTAACCCTGGTTTAACTATTATGCCAACCTTCTCCCTTGATGGCCTCCTACGTGATGATACTTACTCCTTTGTTTGTGAAACAGTTGTCCCTCTTACTGTGATCTTTCTCCTTGAAATTTTAGCCTTTCCACATGATATTTCTCGTACTGGAGTATGAGATAGACTATGTAATACTAAAAGGAACTGGGCACACTGGAGACTGTTTAGCTGATCACAGCCAAGGTCTCATCGCTCACCTTCCTTTCTGTGTGTTAAGTGGCGATTGTTGTGTAGAAAGAAGGGGGGTTAGGCTTGAGCTTGAGTTCAAATCCTGGGTTTACATTTCAATATAGACGTACCTACTGAAACTCCCTCTTGACCCAGGTTCAGCTGCACCCCCTTAATTGGCCCGACGGGGGGCACCTGTTCTGGCACAGAGGTGCTGGACCTACTTTAATCACTGGGACCAGCCACCCTGTGACAAGTACCATACAGTAGTTGTTTATGGTGCTTTATAATAAGAGTAACATGCTCCCCATGCCAAAGGTACCTGAATTTTGTGGGCACAGGTTAGTATATACAGGGCAATAGAGTACAACGGCATTTTAGAATCAATATAAAGCAGCCATTTTTATTTAACTATCTGATTTACTTGTCATACGATGTTATCCTTATTTGTTACATTTTAATTTTTAATGTAACATACTTCTTTTTTAAAAATGTATTTTTCTTTTTTCTTAGCACTGGCAGCAGAGAAAGATGGCACCCCTGTTTTTAAGTTCCCCAGATGGAGAGTTAAGGGCAAGCCTATCCGGGAAGTAGTTGAAGCCTACAAATCAGTTGGAGCAGATCTAAATGTACTTCCATTCTGTACGCAGTTCATCCCCATGGATGTTATTGACAGTCCTAAGCATGGATCAATTATCTATCATCCATCCATCCTTCCCCGCCACAGAGGAGCTTCAGCTATCAATTGGTGAGATGATTTATTTTTTTTACCAAAAAACCCCAAAGCTATTTAGATTTCCCATATCTCTGAAAGATACACAGGCCAGATCCTCAACTGGTTTAAACTGGTATCATTCTATTGACTTTAATTGAGCCACCTTGCTGAAGGTTTGGCCCTGGTCTCTCCGTCACTCCTAGGTTCCAGTGTAGTTTTTGTTGATTGATTTTTTTTTACCAGTTTTATTACTCAGTATTCTACTGAGATTGCTGCTATGAATCATGTTTCTAGTATGGTTTTATTCACATAACTCGATTCAGTATATAAAAAGAAAGAGGTGCACACTTAATGAAGGAAATTTAAACGGATTTAGATATGTGCCTTACATATCTGTGTAAGGTTTTACATATCTGTAAACTTTTATTATATCTGTAAACAAGCCCTACTTGTCCTTCCTTATGTCAAGCCTTCTTTCAGTTCAAACACATAGGGGTACACTTTTACTGCTGTATGAGGAGGTTTAATAATATATCTGCCACTGCTAACAGTAGTTATGTAGTTAAATCCACCAGAATTAGAATTTACTGAAGACTTATACCCTCTATTATAGCACATCAGTGTTGCTACAATATCTGCTAAGCAGCTGTTCTCTTCTGTTGAACGTTCTGTTTCAAGTTGCAAGAGCCAGTAATATGACAAGCTTAGGTATTTTTGCTAGTATTTCCAGAGACTGAGAATCTCACTTCTGCAGTGCAATCACCTTCTTTGCCAACATTACAATTTTCCAAATCCACCAACTTGCAAGCATTTCAGCTTTTGCTGTTGTTTTGTGAGGCCTCAAAAACTAAGGGGGGAGGCTGCCAAGGAACATTTAGAACATGCAGGAAATGATGTTGGTGATTTATATACAGCCAAATGTTAAGTGTTCACTAATTTTGTGTGTCAGTTTTGAGCCACACAACTAGATACAATTGTGCCTAATTTCCAGCAGTGTGGAGGGCCTGTGGAATTGGGACCTCTGTGGCTAAAATTCTTTCCAAATTCAGGATCAGATTTTGAGACAATGTAAATTACCATAGTTCCATTGAAGGCAATAACTGGATATGATGTTCCTATTCACTTGTCTTAAACTGTTGTGTAGTATTGCTGTGCTTTGTTAAACAGTTGTTGTGTTCCACCCTGGAAATACATTTTAGTAGTGAACCACCTCTGTTTCTCTTACCTACTTCTCAGATATATTGTGAAGCTTATTTAGTAATTTTAGTAACTGACTTGGAGATGTTCATGAAAAAGACTGTGTAGATGCACAGACATTAGTACTGTTTTGTTTTGTTAGTACTGATGGTTCCAACTTCCAAATGGTATCACAGCCCACTGCAGAACTTCTGTGCCATTTGTTGTACCATTCATAATTAATTTAAAATAATTTAGCACAATAAACTATGAAACAAAAATGACTGAACTGCAAAGCACAACACATAAAACATTGGCCACAGCCTTGTTTATGTCATTGTGTATACACATCAGCAGTGTCAAGCCTGTAGCTCCTTGAATAACAGCAATGAAGTCACTGTACTAAGAAAGCTGATTAGACTCCACACACACAGATCTCCATATTGTGCCTGCATCAGTCATATGAACTATCAGATGGGTTGATATTTGTGACTAAGGCCATTCCCTCTATATTTACTCTAAAGTATTCTATTGGCAGGACTTTAATTCAAGGAGATAAAAAAGCAGGGTTTACTATTTTCTGGGCTGATGATGGTCTGGACACTGGACCAATTCTTCTGCAGCGGGAATGTGATGTAGGACGGAACAATACCGTGGATGATTTATATAATCATTTTCTTTTCCCAGAAGGCATAAAAGCAATGGTAAGTCTACCTGTGCTGACTACAGACATTTTAAAAGGAAAAATCTGGCACATCTAATCCTCTTGGAATTTGAACATAAATGAAATATAATTAGATACTAAAGAAATTGGAATATACTGGACCAGATTTTCAGCTGAAGTAATTCCATTGACTTCCTAATTCACAAGCTATGCTCATTCACACCACTGGAGGCCCACAATATTTTGAGTTGGGAATAAATCCTGCTCCCTCTGAAGTCAATGAGCCAAATTCATCTCTGATGTAACTCCTTTGACTTCAGTAGAGTTATCCCTGCATTGAATTTGCCCTGTTGTTTTAAATTGGACTGATCAGCAGTAAATAGTTTATAGCATCATAGAAAACAGGGACTTGGAGCTTTCAGATTAAAAAAATGAAAATTTGAGACATTTCTGTTAGAGCTTCCTTTGTTTTGTTATTTAAAAAAGGTGACTGTTTCCACGTGTCACAGAAGGCACGAAGACAATTTCAGTTTGACAGTGTCCCCAGAGCAAATTAACTCTTCTGTACCTTGCTACTATCTGAGCATCACAGCCTGTAAATCTTTACTCACAGGAGTAATCCCACTGAAATCAGTGAGATGACGCAGGGCACTAAGGATTTGCAGGTTTGGGCTCTGTTGTTTAGCAAAATTGCCAGAACCTTGTTTTACTTACTTGTGGACCAGGAAGTCAAATTTAAATCTAAAAGTGTGGACTTTGGTGTGTGTGTTGGTGCATCTCTCTCTCTCTCTCTCTCTCTCTCTCTCTTTCTCTCTCTCACACACACACACACACACACATACACACACCCCATAATTTGTTTTTAAAAAATGCTATGTGCATGGAACAGTAGAGAAATCCCTTCCTCCTTTCCTGTTAAATATTGGCAGGAATTTACACAGGAATCTGCCAAGTAATTGCTGTTTTTACAAACTGTTAAAAACAGAAAGTCTGAATGCAATATATAGGCCATATTCTGCCCTCAGCTAGGCCTCAATCCTGCAAGGATTATGCAAGTGCTTGGCTTTATTCACTGTGAGTGAGTAATACTCTTGATGTGAATGGGCCTGTGGTGGATAAAGTTAGCAAATGCATAAGTCTTTGCGGGATCAGTCTCTTACACTTCAGCAACCCTGGATTAAAAAATAAATAAAGAGCCAAGTCCTGCACCCTACATAGGAAAAACTTCTACTGACTCTAATAAGTATCACTGAGGGGAGAGTATGTGTAAACAAAGAGAAAATTTGGCCTATTGGAGCAATTAAAACTGCTTTTTTCCTGTTTAGGTAGAAGCTGTCCAGCTAATTGCTGATGGTAAAGCTCCTCGGATACCTCAGCCTGAAGAAGGGGCAACATATGAAGGGATCCAGAAGAAAGAAAATGCAGAGGTACTGTAGAGTTAACAACATTGTGTTGCTATTAACAGTGTGGTTACACTTTATGTTCAATGCGCCAAAAGATCTCTGGTGTATTGGTACTCCTCCAGTGGAAGTCAATGAGAATTGTCCCTTTGACTTCAGCATGTGCAGGATCATGTCCTAATTAGCAAGAACAAGTCTGGCACAGATAGAAAGTGCAGAAATATTTTATCATTCTGACTTGTTCTCTACAAGCGTTAGTTGTAGAAATTATTGCTCTAAAAATAAATTAAGGGGCTAATCGCACAAACTCGTCTGAGTATAGTTAGTGCCACACACAGTGTCTTTAAAGACAGTTTAGACAGTGTGTTGTAGTACCAAATACTCTCTCTGGACTAATTCTGTGTTAACCAGTTCAGATGTGAAGTCTGGAGCATACAACTCAGGAGCAGAGCATAGGAGATATGCATGTTGTAAAATGCCCATCCTGCCTGAGAGAGAGATGAGATCTAATGGGGTCTGTAGACAAGCAGGAGTGAGGGTTGTCTGCATTCCAATCCCAGCTCTGACTTCCGCTCAGGCCTTGAGCAAGTTACGGAACCTCTCTGCCTCTGTTTTTATTATTATTACTCACAAACAAATATGCTCTGTACCTGCATGTTCACTTGTGATCACATTTGAACAAAGTACCTGGATCAAGGAGTCTCAATCTCTGGTCCATGAACCTTTCATAGTCTGCAGAATATTTACTGGATCACACAGTATTGGCTTCTTTTCTTTGCTTCCAGCTGTTTTTAGAGATGTTTAGCCTCTTCTTTGCAAAAAAAAAGATAACGCTGTTCCTTAAAAGCAGCTGAAAACAAGAAGGAGAAAGATTAGCTTCCTCTTCTAGGGGCTGCATAGGAGAAGGATTACGAGAGGTAACAGGAGCAGGCCTTAAGGACAGGTGCCATCAGCAGTAGCTGCAGCCAGAGAAGAGGCAAGAGATGCCAATGGGAAAGGAATTCCCAGAAGAGAGTGGGAGGAGGCAGTTGAACAGCATGGGCAAAGGAAAAGGGGACCAGTTGGCAGAGAAGCATTTGCAGAGGAATAGGGGGAGAGAGAACAGAACTGATGGGAGGAGAAGATTAAATAAAAAGCAATAGTAGACTGTGATTCCCTTTTCTGAAAACAGCGCAAACCCAAGAGCTGCTTGGTTGGTTTGTATTCTTTCCTATCCCAGGATTTGGTTCTGCAAGTGCCAAGAGACCATATGGTCCCTCATGGCCATCACTCATGAAACTTAATCTTCTGTTGAGTCTTTGATCGAGTACTCTGCACAGTAAGGGCCTGCTCCTGCTCCCATTTAAGTCATTTTGAGTTTGCCATTGATTTCAGAGGGAGAACATTCAGACTCAAATTACGTAATTTACAATGGATCTTGTATTTTACAAATAAATATAACAACCACTTCTAATGACTAGTGTTCAGCTCGTATTTTAAAATATGGTGTTATTCCTCAAGGACCTAATCCATAGCCTCCTAAGACTGATGGAAAGGATCCCATTGACTTCATGGAGCTTTGGATCTGGCGTCTATGAATTTGAAAGCACCTAAGGGGCTTAAGAGCACAAGTCTTATTGAAAGTAAATGAGACCTGTGTTCCTAAGTCACTTAGATGCATCTTAATATCCCACCCTCCATTCTTTTCACTAATAAAAAGGGAAAGGCTTATTCTGTGATTCCTCCTCTGTATTCACGGGGTAGAATGATACTTTTTGATATATTTAAGTTATTAATATCTTAAGATATTTAATCCCTTTGCTCCAAATTTTTGGACAAATTCCACGGATATGTAATAGAGCCCTAGGCAAAGCTCATATGCCCTGGCTTCAGCCTTTTATATTTAGCAACATAATGTCCTATCTAGGATCATCTACACAGCATCAACGTGTGTAGAACAGCTGCTGTTTCTTAATATATCAGACTGCCTGTACAAATGCATTTGGATTAGACCTTTCTTTTTGCCAACAAATTGCACTGGCCTCTCTGCCAGAAATAGATTTCATGCTGGGAAAATTTAATTCTCTGCCAAACAGATGGAGTTTTAAATAAGTATTTTTTTAAAAAAATTATCTAGATAAAGACTATAATGGGAACATATTTTATATGGTTTGTTCATGCTCTAGCAGTTGTATAATACTCTTCCTTGCTTTTTCTACCTATTTAAGCAGGGACCTTACCCAAGGCTGGGAGAGCCACCATAAATTATATAGAGTGCTATCTGTGACTCCTCCATTACTTTTGCTGCAACAGTGCAAACTATTGATAACAGAAGGGGTAAAAAAAACCAGCATAGCAAAGCTTTCAATCTGTAGCCTCAATAGAAAGTCTTCATATAAAATGCTGCCTATTACCTTTTTCTGCCTCAAGAGTTATTGACTGACATTTTTGAAGAGACAAATAGATCTACAGATGGTTTTCCCAAAATGATCCCAGATCTAGAAAGATAAATGGCTTGGATCACATTCTGGTTGTCCCCATACACTGCTGGACATCATGGGTACACCAACAAAACAGATTAAGGAAGGATGGCTGAGTCCCAGCTGTTCTGATAATCCCCTGGGGAAGAGGCATATTAGACCTTTGCAACAGGTGCACTGGAGGGTTGCTGCTGAGGATGCCTCAAGGAAAAACGAGCGCTGTTGTTTAACTTAAATGATGCATGTAAAATTAAAATGAGTTATTAAGAAAAACTTAGAGCCTTTTAGTTTTATTTATTTATTATTGTAGAGTTATGACACTTGTTAAATTTGTGTCTGTTGTCCCAACCCTGTTCTCCTCACTCAGACTCAGTTGATTGGGAATTCTGCCTGAGTAAGGAGAGCTGGATGAGACAACGTCTTCTTTTCTCTGTTGTAAAACCCTGTTGTCATCAGCTTATAACATAGCTGTAAAATGTTCTCTGAGCTTAAACTAGAGAGACCCACTGAATATCATGGGCTTGGTTCTGTAATAAATATTTTTTTAAGTCCATATCATATCCCATAGCAGCAGAAGTGCTAACATAATGCATGCATTGTGTAGGATTACAAGGGTCATAGATGGGCTATGCAAAAGTATCCTTAACACAGCCTGATCCATGCATGTTCCTTGCATTAAACTGACTCATTCTTTGAATACCTTGTGTGAATCCCAGGCTGTATTAATGTTTCACTTAATAAAGAGTTGATAAAGGGTTAATACATGATTAGTGTTTTAATAAATGATTAATGAGTTGTTATAGAGTCCCACAGGGTGCTTATAACTATAAGTAATTCTTTTTACTGATGGGATTGTACCGATCTCTAACACATACTTCTTGTGTCTTTAACATGAATATAAGCTGTCATTTATTAACTCTTGCTATGAAGGTTCCATTTATAAAAAGTTTATAAAGTGGGACCCTTGCATCCTCCATGTGTGATCCTCATACTTATCATATGAATGAGAGACTTTGAAAAGGAAAGCTTGTGCAGAAGCAGTTTTGAGTAAGATTCATAGTGTCCTAATTTACAACTCTGATGACTAGCCAGCTAGAAAATGTGAGTTTTCCTTTCCTTTCCTAACCAAGACCCCTTCTAGATTCTTAAATAAACAACTGAAAGAGAGAAACAACTTGTAGCTGTTGTTGGAAAGAAATGTTATCTTTATAGCGAGATAGGAAAGAATCAGATCATGCGTCTTGACTTCCTAGATTTCTTGGGACAAGCCTGCAGAAGCTTTGCATAACTGGATCCGAGGGCATGATAAAGTACCTGGAGCCTGGACAGTGATTGATGGCCAGGTATGGTCTGTGAAATTTAAGTATTTCCTTACTTTTCTTTGTTATTTGCTTTTGTAATAAAAGTTACAGATGAAATGCAGCCTCCTTTTGGTGATCACATGTAACTCCCGTTGATAAGAATATAGATCAACTCACTTAATAAAATGTATCTGTGATGGGTGCCCCCTCCCCCGGGTGCCACTTGTAGCTGGGGTACCACTGAGTCCGCCTGACCCACCAGCCTGGGCTCCCTTTACACTATATTGCTGAGGCAAGCCAGCCAAGCTCTCCCTCATGTTTCAGACTGCACTTAACCAGCACACATACAGGTAGGGACACACCCAGCTGCAGCTTTACACAGAGATGCTAAGATCAGCTAAGGAGCTGCCCAGTACTCAAGTGCACACCCTCCTCTGGAGTGCAAACCCAAAATTATACTGTCTTGCACTGCACAGAGAACTGTACAGCATAAGCTCATGAAAATCGTCCCCTCCCTCAATGTGGAGAGAGATATGCAACAGCTTTTTGCCCCCCAGTGATGAATTCCACACACCGGGTTTTAGACAAAACAAAAACAAGTTTATTAACTACAAAAGATAAATTTTTAAGTGATAAGGGATAGAGTCATAGAGTCATAGACTTTAAGATTAGAAGGGACCATTATGATCGTCTAGTCTGACCTCCTGCACAATGCAGGCCACAGAATATCACCCACCTACTCCTGTAATAAACCCCTAATCTATGTCTGAGCTATTGAAGTCCTCAAATCATGATTTAAAGACTTCAAGGTGCAGAGAATCCTCCAGCAGGTGACCCGTGCCCCTCGCTGCAGAGGAAGGCGAAAAAAACCCAGGCTTCTGCCAATCTTCCCTGGAGGAAAATTCCTTCCCAACCCCAAATATGGCGATCAGCCTAACCCTGAGCATGTGGGCAAGACTCACCAGCAAGACACCCAGGAAGGAATTCTCTGTAGTAACTCAGATCCACCCCATCTAACATCCGATCACAGGCCATTGGGCATATTTACCGCTAATAGTCAAAGATCAATTAATTGCCAAAATTAGGCTATCCCATCATACCATCCCCTCCATAGACTTATCAAGCTTAGTCTTGAAGCCAGATATGACTTTTGCCCCCACTGCTCCCCTTGGAAGGCTGTTCCAGAACTTCACTCCTCTGATGGTTAGAAACCTTTGTCTAATTTCAAGTCTAAACTTCCTGATGGCCAGTTTATATCCATTTATATCCATTTGTTCTTGTGTCCTCATTGGTACTGAACTTAAATAATTCCTCTCCCTCCCTGGCATTTATCCAATAGCAATCAGCTCAAAGCAGATTACCTGGCAAATAAAAAAACACACAAACTAAGCTTAAATATACTAAAGAAACTGGTTATAAGCAGCAAATTTTCACCCTAAATGTTGTTTTAGGCAGATTGCAGAGACTTGCTTGCAGCTTAAAGCTCCAAATAATCCTTTCACAGGCCAGACACCCTCTAGCCTGGGTTCAATACTTTCTTCCCCAGTTCAGTCTTAGGTGTTTACAGCAGTCATCTTGGGGGGGGAGACAGTGAAGAACAAACCACAATGTTACTCCCCTGCCTTAAATAGCTTTTGCATATGGCGGGAACCCTTTGCCAGTCAGTGGAAAAACACTGGTATTCCAAGATGGATTCCAGTACCAGGTGACTTGGTCACATTCCTCTGTAACCCTAACTCAGAGGCTGGTTGTAATGTCCTCAGGAAGGCCTCTCTGTGGGTGATAAACATCTTCTAAGACCTATTGTTTTCTCTAATGGCCCATCCAGACTGATTGCATTCTGTCTGGTGGGTGTTCCCCAGGTGTAAACCCACTTGTAATTGATATAGTCAATACTCCTAACTTCAGATGCAGAAATGATACATGCATACAAATAGGATAATCATATTCAGTAAATCATAACGTTTCCAATGAAATTTCACATGCGTTATCTTGCACAAAATATATCATAATTATGCCATACTCATATCATAACAATATCTCCATGAAGAATATGGGGGGCATAGTGTCACAGTATCAATCACCAGAAAAATCACTGCTAAGTCAAAGACATGATTCCCTTTGGTAGGGTCAGTTAGTTCAAAGAAAAAATAAAAGCATGTGTCTGAAAGTGACCGAGCTCTAGTTCAAATCAATAAGCAGAGAGGGCAGAGCCAGATAGTGCCAGATATTGTAGGAAATAGGTAGACATTACTGTTCATAATGAGATACTAATGTCCCAAGGTAACACCAGAATATAATACTGTGAGCCACTGAAATACAAAATGAAATATTGTTAAAGGATTGTTGGCCTTGCATGCTGGGACCATTTACCAGAAAGAAAAGTAAATCACCCTTTATCACAAAGCTATTCTTTTCAGTTTGATAAAAGGCAATATGTCCTTGATCCAAATGTTCCTTGTTTTAAATGTTTTAAAGTCATAGAATCATAGGGACCTCAAGAGGTCCTCTAGTCCAGCTCCCAGCACGGAGGCAGGGGTAAGTATACCGAGACCAAATCAAAGTAACTTTCATGGCTGCATGATAGTTGCTTAGCTATGAGACCAGCCTTCGGTAGGCTCTCCCTATGGGCTGGATTCTAATCCTACAGGCCAGCCCAAGTAAAAGGCAGCAGATAGCTGCACTACCATAGGAGCAGGGCAGGAATCAGATTGTGACTCTGATAGTCACAGCCTGGTCCTGGTTCCTCTTTGCTCCGGATTGGGGAAGTCATCTGCACCAGGCCATTTGCTAGCTCAGATTGCTTCCCTTTCTGCACTAGCTTCCTTGTGCTCACTGGTACATTGGGACCAGAGCCAAAGCTGTACCCACCCACTCCTTACCAACCAGGATAAGTTGGGGGGCAGGGGGACATAGCAGCCTGCTGGCAGCTGCTATCCCTCCCCTACAGGTTCTGGTGATGTAGGTAGCCTGTTTAGGGGAGTAAGGGGGGCTCCTTGTGCCCTCTTTGGCCCCTTCACAGGTCCACAGCAGTGCTCACAGTTGAGTCCTAGTAAATAACATTCGGAGATTTTCCAAGCATACTCAATTTCGTCATTATAATTGTTATTTAATATTTATATTACCATATTGCCCAAAGGCCCTAATCAGGATCTGCGCCCCACTGTGGTAAGCACTGTGTAAACACTGAGATGGATACTGTGTTTGCCTCCCAAAGCTTGCGGTGTAAGAAGACAAGAAACAAGGGCCTGGCCTGGAGTTACATAGCTGTCACTCACAGGATTTTCCTGGGCTTGCATTTGGGCAAAGAGTTGTATATGCTGGGTTGTGAAGCCCACAGATAATATAGTCACCCAATTTTTGCAAGTATCAGAGGGGTCTGACGAAGTGGGTATTCACCCATGAAAGCTTATGCTCCAATACTTCTGTTAGTCTATAAGGTGCCACAGGACTCTTTGTCGCTTTTTACAATTTTTGCAGTTTACATGTAAAGGGAACCAAAGGCCTATTATTCCCCCATTAACAGCAGGAAAACAATGTCATTGCATTTTCAGCATGTTGAGAGAGATTTAAAGCCTATACATCTGTCATTCATTTTGTTTTGTAGATGGTTACTTTCTATGGGTCATCATTACTTGATGGGCCAGTGCCTCCTGGACAACCGTTGGCAATAAAAAGCACCACAAAACCTGGGCTTATAACCAAAAATGGCCTAGTTCTTTTTGGTAATGATGGAAAGATGGTAAGTGTTCAACAAGATAAATAGTGTAGCTAGGAGGCGGGGGACACGGGCAAGGGAGATGAAAAACTGTATGGACTGATTAACATTAGGAGAAAATGTAAACTATGGAAATTTCATGCTATTAAATCCAGATGTAATCTTTGCAATGCTAGTGATAGCAGCCAGGTAATCAGCCATGAACATGTCAATCTTCTATTATTTCATGAAGTGTGCCAAATGCTATTCTGTTCTTTATCTTAGGTATTGTCAGGATCCTGGGTGAAGGTAGGAAGGACCAGTGGTGGGAGCTTGGGATCCCAGAACTGAAAGCAGGGGTCAGAGCCAGGATCAGGGTTAAGAATCAAGCTGAGGGCTAAGTCAGAGTGATGAGCTAAGCCGAGGGTCAAAGACAGAGTCAGGAATCTGGCCGAGACTGGGTCCATGTCAGAGTTCCAGGGGTCGATCGGGAGTCAGAATCGAAGTCAGAGCTGGGATCAGAACCAGGAGTTCACTGACAGAGAAGCAGGGCAGTCATGACAGGTAGCTAAGGATTCTCATTGTTGCCTGGGCACTTGCTGGTACGCCCCATGGACTCATACAGGGACAGGGTGCCAATCAGGGATTGCTAAAACTAGTGTCAGTCAGGTCACCATGGGTAGAACTTCCCAAGAACCTCAGCAGATTGTTTGCAGGGAGTAACTAGGTTCCAGATGCCACCAGCTGGCAGCGTGGGGATGGTGGTTGTCCTGTAACCTTACAGGTCTGTCTTCATGTCCCACTGATCCTTACAGGCATTTCCCTACCACCCATCATATGTTCATTTCTAAGATATGTTAAATTGTACCTATATTTACTATAGTTTGTGGTGAAGAAAATATTTAAAGATACCTTTATCACAGGTTTGAGATTTCCTACCAGACACTTACTCATTTCATTATTATTCGAATTAACACATTAATTTCTCCTTAGTACGTTTTACAGCCTTTCCATCAACTTAAATCATATCCCCTCTTTTTCAGTTGTTGGTGAGAAATCTACAATTTGAGGATGGAAAAATGATCCCTGCATCTAAATACTTTTCATCTGATGAGATGTCTGTCATAGAACTTACAGAAGAGGAGAAAAAGATGGCGGAAGATATCAAGGTAATTCTGTAAACTAATTCAGCAGGATATTAGTTTACAGAAAAGCATTAAAGACGTCTAGGTACAGACACGATATAACTTTTATTTAAATGTGCAAGTTATTTCTTAACAAAATATAGACAAAAGTACAAGAATGAATGTTAAGCTATTAAAATTAATTCAGATGTGTTTGGAGATCAGGTTAGGTGTTCACAAATGTATATATGGTCCTAGAAACTTTTTCTTTAGATATAAGTGATTGATTCTAAAGACCAAGTGTTGGACCAAGTCGAGAAGAATGGTTTTGGATTATATGCAATGAGTGAGGCAGACACACTTCAAAGCCGAGTCAGAGCACCAGCATGACTTCTCCCCGCACAGTGGGGCCTTCAGACACCAAACAAACTGGCGTTATTTTTTTCATGGAAACATTCATCAGCAAGATTTGATCCTATTTCTAAAACAGAATCTAAGGGCTTGTCTACACTGCCCCGCAGTTCGGACTCTGGGGCCGTGAGGATCAGTGCGCACGAAAGTGCTGTGCTGGACTCCCCTGTGGGGATGCTGCGGGTTCATACTCAAGGGTTCCTGTAACGGAATGCTTAACTGTATTATACTGTTCAGCCTCTAAGGGCACCATGTGTCACATCCCATATTTAAGCTAACCTCAGCCATAGGTGGCAGAACATTAAAGGATCTTAATGAAGACACGTCTCTTGTGTATCTCTCTGAGAAGAAAGCCCTGTAGTCAGTCTTTATCTGATACAGAAAGCCTGACCTGCTAGAAGCAGCTGTGTAATGTACCACATACAAGAAGTACATCACAGTTCCTGGTTCTCGTTAGTGGAGTCCTCAGACAGGACAACATTAATGTGAACTAGGAACTTTTTAGTTTGTGTGTGCAGCATCCACATGGGAGAGTTGAAGCCAGGGCTGGCTCCAGGCACCAGCCCACCAAGCATGTGCTTGGGGCGGCGCCTGGAGGGGGGGCGGCGTGGCGGGGCCCCGGCCGGGCTTGCCGCCCTCCCCCCAGCGCTCCGGCCGGTCGGGGAGAGCGGGGCCCCGGCCAGGCTCGCCACCCTCCCCCCGGCGCTCCGGCCGGTCAGGGAGAGCGGAGAGCCCCGGCCGGCCTCTCCGCCCTGCTCCCGGCACTCCGGCCGGTTGGGGATTGCGGGCCCGCAGCTGGGCTCGGCGCCCTCCCCTGCCGCGCTGGGGGGGCGGCGGGTGGCTTTTTTGCCTAGGGCAGCAAAAAAGCCAGAGCCGGCCCTGGTTGAAGCTCAGCACTTGGGTGCACACTGCTATTCACATTTCTGTAGTCTGAACTACAGGGCCGTACTGTAGACAGACTCAAGGAAAGTTTAAGGCTTTGTCTACACTGGCAAGTGAAAGACAAAACTTTTGTAGTTCAGAGGTGTTAAAAAAAACACACCCACGAAAGACAAAAGTTTTGTCGACGACAAGTGCCGGTGTGAACAGCGCTTTGTCACAAGCAGCGCTCTCCTGCCAACAACGCTAATGCTGCTTGTTGGGGTTGGAAGTTTTTTGTTTCGACAAACAGCGGCTACACTGCACGCCTTTTAGCGGCACGTCTGTAGAAGCACAGCTGTGTCGCTAAAAGCTGTGTAGTGTAGACATAGCCCAAGAAACAATATTTCTTATAGGTGTGAATTGCCCTATTTGGTTCAGTGGAGACAACTTGAAACCGAATTATAACAATTTAAATGTGCACATTCTCAGCAATTTCACCCCCATTTTAACAGAAATATCCATCTAGTGTATTTATTCTATAGTACTACCTCTCAGCCCTTCCACAGTCCCTGCTGTACATATCCAACTACCAAATACTCCCACTCTCCAAACCCCTCGGTCCAGCCCAGAGCACCCTCCTACACCCCAAACTCTTCATCCCCAGCCCCACCCCAGAGCCCACACCCCCAACCAGAGCCCTCACCGCCTCCCGCACCCCAACCCCAATTTTGTGAGCATTCATGGCCCGCCATACAATTTCTATTCCCCAATATGGCCCTTGGGCCAAAAAGTTTGCCCACCCCCGGGCTAAGGGGAAGGAGCAGTTAAACCCATTTTATGTAACGATTGCTGGAAATAATGGGAGACTACCGCCCCAGATAACTGGCCACATAGCAAAACCTGAGCAGTTCCCTGGGACTGATTGCAAATGCACAGCCTAAAAGGGATTGCTTGGCATGTTGTGTGCATGTGAAAATGAGAAAGCCACCAGGAAGCAAGAGAATGAAGCATGGCAGTGGCGTAGCCAGGGTCTAAGTGTAGGGGGAGCAAACAGAAAAAAGGCGCTCCCCCATGGCTCCTCCTCTGGCTACGCCCCCTTGGGTCCTCCCATTTCCCCCCCCAGATTAACCCCGGGGCCCGGCTCAGGACTCCTGCGGGCTTCCCGGGGGTGCGGATACCCCCATCCCGGGAGAGTCTCTCCTGCCCAGCCCGCTCTGCAGGTGTCCCCTGCCAGGCTGCTGCGCCTGGCCCCACCCGCGGGGTCCCGTCCCCCCCGCCCGGGGCTCCAGGCTCCTGCGCCGCGCCAGGGCCCCCCGTCCAGACAGCGCGGCCTGCGCCCCTGCCCTGCGGGCGCGGCCCCAGGGAGCCCCTTGCCCGGAGGGGCCCCCCAGTGCAAGGCACTGGACCCCCGTCCTGCATCGCCGCCTGTTCCCGGCCGATCCTGGCCCCGCGCTGTGGGCGGATCCCAGCTCCGGCTCTGGCTCGGGGCGGGGAGCGCTTGGCCGCCGAGCCCTGAGCTGCTGCAGGAGGTGGCTGCACCTGTGGCGATATTGGGGCCGCGTGGGGCGCGATGGCTGAGGAGCCGGCCCCCTCACTTCTCCGGCCGCGCCTGCCGCCCCCCCACCAATGGCTCCTCCGGCCGTGCTGCCCCCAGCGCCGGCCCGGCCGTCCTGCGCCGCCGCCTGTCCCCGACCCCACGCTGCGGGCTGATCCCGGCTCCGGCTCCGGGCGGGGAGCGCTTGGCTGCCAAGCCCTGAGCCGCCGCAGGAGGTGGCTGCGCCTGCGGCGATGTTGGGGCCGCCTGGGGCGCGATGGCTGAGGAGCCGGCCCCCTCTCTCCTCCGGCCGCGCCTGCCGCTCCCCCCCCCCATGGCTCCTCCGGCAGTGCTGCCCCCAGCGCCGGCCCGGCAGGCGCCGCTTTTGGGAAAAGGGGTGAGGGGAAGCGGCTGCTTCCCCTGCACCCCGCTAGCTATGCTACTGAAGCATGGCCCTGAGAGGGAGCAGAGGGACAGAGCTCCTTGGGGCACAGGACTTTCTGCAGAGGCAGGCTTGGAAAACATGAGCAAAGAAACTGCCTGCTGCTGTTTGTTCCTACTGCGTTCGGGGAACCAGGACTTTGTGTACATGCTCTGTAAATGGGCGGCGATTGGGGAGGGAATAGGGGGCATTGCCCCCCCAAACTAGAGGCAACACAGGGAGGAGGACATGGGGTCATGTGTCCCCCAGATTTCTGCCTTCCATTTAGCACACAAATGTGTGGTGCGCTGTCCTAGGGGGACGTGCCCCACAATTTGAAAACCGTCACTGCCTGCTAGGAGCCAGCAGATCTGAAGCTGGTGGGAGCCGCCCGGCCCACAGCTCTCTTCGCTGTGGAAGCCGAATGCTGGTTCGCTTCCCAGCAGCCCTCCCTGCCCTGCTCCCCGAGCCGGGCCACTTCTGTGGGGCCAGGCGCTCCCCAGGCGGGGGGGGGGGGGGGACAGCACAGTGCACCCCCAATTTGCTCTTGCTTCTCCTCCGAAGGAACGCAGCCACGTGTCGTCCCCCCATGTGCCACCTCTGTTCCTATCTCCCAAATATACAAGTCAAACTATGCCTATGTTTGTAAACAATCAGGATTGCAACCAGGAGACTGGAGGGTGGAAGCAGGCTCTTAAGTGGGGCGGCAAAGGGAGAGTGAGGGGAGCTACTGTGGCATGACAGGGGGACATCCTGTTCCAGGCTGGGAATGGGCGTCCCGGCAGTTCTTCAGCAGCTGCCCTATGTGCCAGTGCTCCTCTGCCCCCAACCCAGGTGCCTGTGCACTCTCCTGCAACCTGGCAGCTGGGGCACATGTTCCTCCCTGGACTGGATGCCTCTGCTGGGACCTGCAGTAGCTAGAAGATGGGGAGAGGAGAACTGTCTGTTCCTACTTGCTTCCTAACAGCTGGCCTGATCTCCAGCCCCTCCTCAGGGTTCTGCTCTCACCTCCACCCCCAATGCATGCATGCAGGGGTGGAAGAATAACCAGGTTCCACTCTCACCTCCATGAGATGTGGGAGACGAAACATATATCAGCACCCGCAATATTTCCATTGTTGGGGTATGGCCCATAACCTCATTCTGCTGGCCCTGATCGCAACAAAGAAATAGCTCATACTCAGACAATTCATAACATCAGTTCCCCAAAGCAAAACAAACCTGCAAAGCCCCACATACTGGCTAACCGCTCAGGTCAAAGGGTCAATAGTAATTTCACCTGCCACACTAAAAAAAATGCAAACTGTATACATGCAAATCATTAGCATGGTGGTTATAGCAAAAATGCTCATTTGCTTTTCTGGCTTTTAGTATCCCTAGAAGTAATTGATTTTTAAAAAGCCGATATGTTTAAAAATATACACTCAGACCTACATTAGTGTCAGTGAACTGATGTTTTCTGCCATTAGAGGGGTTTGTTTGTATTAATGCCTCATTTATTTTCTATATTTTTTAGTCCATTTGGAAGGGAATTTTGAGCAATGTTGCTGTAATTGAGGATTCTACAGACTTCTTCAAATCTGGAGCATCCTCGATGCATGTAGTCAGGTAACTTTTATATTTTAAATAACCATGTTTTTTAAGCAATTAATGAAGATTGTGACTGTGTTATGGTTCTTACGGTATCTGTGATTTTTCCCTTTCCCCACTCTTCCCCAATCAGAAGTCACAAAACAGTAAAGAGAAAATTATTTTAAATGCATTTTTTCACCATATTAACCACTTCCAGAAACCTAATAAGGTGATCCCAGTGCCACATCAGATCCTTCGCCTCCCAAAGTCAGTGCAAGATTGGACTCTTGCCCTGCTTACTCAAGCAATACTCCCGTCGACTCCCATGACATTGTCCTCAATTGGAGTTTTGCCTGAATAACAAGGGCAGGATTAGCCCCAAAACTAAGGGACTACCCTGGCAGATATTTGGGAGCGAGTCTACTGTAGATCTGACAGCTATTCCAAACCTGGGGGCCCAATCCTGCAGCTGCATACCAAACTCTCAAATGCAGTGAGGTCACCATGCTGTATCAGGTCACATTAGTGAGCATCGCTCCTTTCTCTAGCCCAAATGTCCACAGCCATCACATGAGAAGCCCTTGAGAGTTTTACCAAAATCATTGCTATTAATAATCCACCAAATGTAACATGATTCACAATTCCCGAGCTGTACTAAATAGCCTGAACAATACTTGCATGACGTAACAGTGCTGGGAGCTAGCCAGTCAGCCAGCACTCTGATCTCTCTGGCACTAGTTGGTTTCCCCAGGGAGGTCTGAATGGGGAATGGAACGTTATCCGCTAATCAGTCTGGGTGAGCTAATGGATTAATTAGCCAATCATCTGAGGAGTGATTAAAAAGGCACAGGAAGGAAGTGAAAGGGGAGAGGAGTAGGGCTGAGTCCAAGTCCAAACTTAGAGAGCTCTCAAGGAAGGGAGACCTCTTCTCCTCTCAGACTCTGGGGACAGGGCTGATGATACAAGGGACACTGCAAATAGCATTGCTGCACAGAACTGTAAAGGGGTTGGGGCAGGAATCTGAACTAAACCGCACTGTGTGGATAACTAACTGGCGGAGTCTGAGCAGTTTCTGTGAAGCTAGAAGGCAGGAGCAGAGCGTACCCTGTTATACATGAAATATGTTTATCATTTGCCTTTTATTCCTAAAATGTTACCTCAGAGTATTTCAAAGCCATTGGGCCAAATTCTGCCCTAATAACACCTGCACAATTGCTGTGTATAACTGAGGACCCCATGTAGCCCAATGGCTAGCCGTAATACAGTACAGCTACAGAATAATGGCATGCACACAAAAAAGCCCACACATTGTATGCAACCAACCAAAACCCTACTCCACCTTCTAATAATTGACTGTCTCAACAATACTTCAGTGTAAAGTTCAACCTACTATTTCTTTGCAATTTTCAGAATGATTGAAGAGATCAAACAAAAATATGGTGGACTTCAGCTGCAGAATGAAGATGTGTATATGGCCACTAAGTTTGCAGACTTTATTCAGATGGCTGTGAGGAAACTTAGGGGAAAGGACGAAGAAGAAGAATTAGTCATAGATTATGTAAGCCTTTTTAGGTTTTATTGACATTTTGCACACTTTCTTTGATGGAGTGTTGGTTTCGTTTCTGTAGTTTTCATTTATTTGTGACGGGATGGAGGTGAAACTTGGTGAATTCCATTGCTCATGAAACTGGGAGATCAATAGCAGTGGATGGATTCATGCTTATTGCACATGTAGGTATTGTAAACTTCCTTAAAGTGCCTCGCTCATGTATCTCAGTCATCATGCCCACAAAAAAAATCTGCTTTTCTGAGGAAAACAGCAACAGACTCTCCTCCAAGGAACCCTAGCATGGGGCGGAGGGGGATATGATAGAGATCTATAAAATCATGACTGGTATGGAGAAAGTAAATAAGGAAGTGTTATTTACTTCTTCTCCTAACACAAGAATTACAGGTCACCCAATGAAATTAATAGGCAGCAGGTTTAAAACAGACAAAAGAAAGTATTTCTTCACACAATGCACAGTCTACCTGTGGAATTCTTTGCCAGAGGATGTTGTGAAGGCCAAGCCTATAACAGGGTTCAAAAAATAACTAGATAAATTCATGGAGGATAGGCCCATCAATGGTTGTTATCCAGGATGGGCAGGGATACAAAACCAAAGCAAGCTACAATCTTTGCCTAAGCAGCTTCCTCTCCTACATCAAGCTATGAGCATCTCCAGCCCTTCAGGCAGGAGGATCCACCACTTACAGAATCAGAGGGTGCTTATCTCTTTGTCCCCAAAGAGATGGATAACAAAGGAGTCCCCTTTGTTCCCTTTCATAGTCCAGAAACCTTTTGAAATGTATTCTTTGAAAAGTAAACGAAGACAAAGTTCCTCCCCCCTGCTGCTTGTTCTTTGGGCACCAAGCCCTTTCTTCATCCTCTTGTCAATTTGCTTTCTCAGTTGGCTTGATCACTTTGTTTACCTTAGATGCAAATGTACCTTCATTGTCCTTTGCTTGTGATTAAGCCATGCTGTTTTCTCATAACTAGAGCCATGCAGACATTCCTTTGTTTAGGGCAGGCTTGTTTATCAGCTGCCTCCAAAACATATTACACGAACGTATTTCCAGCACACATACATAAGTCTTTATACACAACTTGTACATACATCATGCAACAATATTCGTGACCAGCATGTCACCCGTTTTCATATGATACCTTACAGGTCCCTGCTTGGCTAAATATTCTGCCAACAGTGTGTTGGGTGAGCCCTTTGCCAGTTGGCATAAAGGAGCTCTTAGAGTCACAGTAACTTTAAACACATAACTAGGGCCATTGACTTCAGTTGGATTATAAATCTACTTAGTCACACACCTATTTTAATACCTTGCTGGATTGAGGCCCTAATGATGATTTGATCCTGGATATCCACTAGTAAAACCATACAAATTCATTAATCCATTTAATAATTTAGGCACTTCTCCTCCTCAGAGGAAGTACAATTTCTATTTAGTTTTGCCTTAGTGATGGATACTGACAGCCATATATGCATCCTGGTACTTTGTCTGAAAACTGGTTTTGCATATTAAAGTTACAAGTTGTATTAGGTACGTAGTTTTGCATGTTGCATGTACAGTATTGCCAACCCCAAATGTTCAAAAATTATGAGTCAGGCTCACCAAAAATCATGAGATTGGCTTTAAAACCACGAGATTAAGTAAAAATAATAGATTTGGTGATCTTTTTATTTGCTTTCTGCTTTTTGAGCCTTTAGGGTGCACCGAGGTCACATTTTGAAGCCTTCTCCATAGCCACAAGGGCTAGAAATTTATTTTTTAACGAATGAAGGCTGAAATCATCACATATCCACTTGACTCCAGGATCTGGTGCTTTAAGAAAAACAATAATGGTCATGAGACTCATGACAAAATCATGAGAGTTGGCAACGATGTAAGACATATTGAAATGTTGAGTTTCTTTCACTGTTAGGTTTCAAAAAATGTTAACAATATGACTGTGAAGATGCCTTACCAGTGTTTTATAAATGGACAATTTATGGATGCTGAAGAGGGAAAAACATACGACACTATAAACCCAACAGATGGATCAGTGAGTAATTTCTGCATATGATAAATACTGGCTTATTCTGAATACTACATTTCTGGATAAATAATCTAAAACATTAAAAGGATATTGCCAAGTTGAAAATCATGTAGTACATTTTAAAAGATTCCTTTACTATTTTACAATCAAAGCTTGAAAAAAATTCTTCAACTTTTACTTATCTTGAAATGTTAATAATTTAATCTAATTTACTTTTCAGTTTTTATGCTTTTTATTCACTTTTTGCATCTTAGCCTGCATAGTGAAAACTGGCTGATTAATTTTGCTATGTTTATAATCTATTTTAAGTCAGTTTCACTAGCAGGTTCTCATACTTTAGCTTAGTGTTGCAGTGTTTGACTTTGCAGACAGAACAGGGGAATGCTTATCAGTTCTTTTAAAAAGTGTTTCCACTGGGATCTTTGTTAGTTTCTTGAGCACATTTCTGTTGGTCAGAAGTTATGTAAAAGCTTATTTTTACAAATCCTACAGTTTAGGCCAAATTTGTCCTGAAAGTGTCCTTTTAAATAGGGTGACCAGATGTCCCATTTTTAAAGGGACAGTCCCGTTTTTGGGGACTTTTTCTTATATAGGCGCCTATTACCTCCCACCCCCTGTCCCATTTTTTCACAGTTGCTATCTGGTAACCCTACTTTTAAATCACTTTTAAAAATGACTTCTCAATATGCATTTTTTTTTCAAAAAGTACCAAATCTTGGCTGAGCAACTGTTGGGGCCCTGATTCTGATCTCATATATGCCACTGTAAATCAGGAGTAACTGAATTCCACTTAAGTCAATAGTTGTACCACTATTAATGAGGCCAGAATCAAGTACAGCCTTAGCAGTTTGGTATTATCTTAAGGCATCTTAAATATAAGTGTCCATCTATGGTGATACATGTAACAAATATACCATTCCAGGGAGGCAATATCCAGATGGTATTCTAGAATGTTTAGGCATTCTATTGTTGTACCAGACACTAAGCTTTTCCACTTCTTCAATGTCACATCAGTAAGTTCATGCGATAGTTGAAGAAATAAAATAAGGCTTGAGGGTGTGCTCTGTTGTTAGCAGAGTTTGAGGAAAGAGGGATCCAGAATTCTGACTGTTCACACAGTCCTTCGAATTCCACCTCAATCGGTGGTGTCTGAGCTTTTCTGAACCTGATTGACCCATGCATAATAGGTAGCCATTAGAATATTAAATGTTTGTTTATATTTAAGTAAAAATAAAAAGAGAGAAAGGAAGCATTGTATGTAACACTACTTGAAATGTGAGCTAACACTTAGCTGTTTTGTGACAGATAATAGCAAAGGTGTCTTATGCTTCAGTGGCTGATGTTGACAAGGCAGTAGCAGCAGCAAAAGATGCATTTGAAAATGGTGAATGGGCAAGAATGAATGCAAGGGAAAGAGGGAGATTAATGTACAGGTATGTAAGGGGTTTTGCTATGTTTACTCATGTTTCTTAACTTTATTTTACTTCCTCTGAAAAATCATGGTATACCCCATCTGAATCTGATGGACTTTCCTTGTCATAGGGCTAGAGTGCCCACATTTCGGAAGGGGGTGAGGGGTGAGGGGCTAGGGGTTCTGGGATATGCTTACTTTGACTTGGGTCTCTGCATTGCAGTGTGGATGTCAGAACCTTTTTAAGTTAATGAAAAAATTCCCATTGACTTTATTGGGTGTTTGGCCCTTATTTACATTAACAAATAGCCAAAGGTCCCAATCCTGAAGTCACTGGAAATTTTGCCTGAGTTGCAGTATTTTGCAGTCCCACATCACGTTTGTAAGTTAGGTATAGTTGGAGGTGTCGTTTCCCAGTGTTGTTATTTTTGATTCTCATTTGTTGTGTTTTAATTAAAAGACTTGCTGACCTGATGGAAGAACACCAAGAGGAATTAGCAACAATTGAGGCCATTGACTCAGGAGCTGTCTACACTTTAGCTTTGAAGACCCATGTAGGAATGTCTGTGCAAACATTCAGATACTTTGCTGGATGGTGTGACAAAATTCAGGCAAGCTAATATTTGTCAGCAGTTACGCAAAGTCAGAAATGAATTACAATGCTTCTGTATACTTATTCTTTACTAGTACTGTCTTTTGTTTGTACAGCCCAGAAGAACAACTTTAACACAGGGAAATGAGGCATTCAAAATTGTGGATGACAGAATTAGAATTTTACCTAGTAAGAGTCTTCCTGGAAACATGATAGGAGCACATTATGCTTCTATTGGGAAACAGGAATTTAGAGTCTGACTCGTGATGACAGATAAGCTGGTTGAGAATGTGGAGTGTTATAGAGGAGATGTACCTCATATCCTTGGTAGAAGGTTATACAGCAGCAATATTCCAGCATCTTTCTGTCTCTGGCATCCTGTTAACAGAACAAATCCGGCTGTGAAGCCTTCCATGATGGCAATGATTTTTCTGAAACAAACATGGTTAGATAATTGGTGCATTTTAATTTTCCTTTCTAGATATATACATTTTTTGAAATCCATTGTCTTTCTTTTAGGGTTCTACAATCCCAATTAGCCAGGCCCGCCCAAACCATAACCTAACATTCACCAAGAAGGAACCCATAGGGTAAGGCTATTGTCTTCTTCTTAATGACTGCAAACTAGTTTTAACCTTGACAAATAGAAAATCCTTTCAAAATCTGTTATGAAAATGTAACTTTTTTCATATTTTTCCCAATCTTAAGAGTCTGTGCGATTGTTATCCCCTGGAATTACCCACTGATGATGCTTGCATGGAAGAGTGCAGCATGCTTGGCTGCAGGCAACACGTTAGTTCTCAAACCAGCACAGGTAAAATCAAAAGGGAAAATGCAAATTATGGGTGTGATCCTCCACTCCTTATTCAGGCAAAGCTTCCATTGACTCCATCCATTGACTGACCTGTTGCATGCTATAAAACATGTAAAGCAGTAGCTATTCCCACACTGATACAAGGCACTCCTCTTCACTAGAACTCTCTGCACCCTCAAATTAGAGAATACGTTAAAACTTTCTGTTTGTCTATCGATGTCGTTGTTGCATGGAGCTATGGTTAGGGAAGAGGGGGAGAGGAGGTTGCACAGTGATATGCATGTGTACTCAGAATATAATTAATCTGGGATGTGAACAGAATGAACTCCTTTTTCTAAGGGAGTGCCACTTTGTCAGCTTTGTAAAAATATGAACTAATGTAAGATTCATATTGTAACAAGCTAAAACGTATTGCACATTAAATATTTCATGGCATATTTAACTAAAATAGCAGACCTAATCTGACTATTGTGTACATGTTTAGGTCACTCCTTTGACGGCCTTAAAGTTTGCAGAGCTCTCAGCTAAAGCAGGATTTCCCAAAGGTGTTATAAATATTCTACCTGGTTCAGGTAAAGCATTGACCTAATTATTTTTCTGTACAAAATATAGCTCGGTATGAACTGTAGTTGAGAACAGTTAGGTAAAAGACTGAGGAGAGGTGAAGTTGTTGGTGATCTAGCTTTTCACCTCTGCAGACCTGTCAGGTGAAAACTGTGCTGAGTGGACTTCTCCTCCTTCGTAGTGGATCTTTGTCCACATTACAAAGCTGATACATCATTTCACATGTATTCTCTGAGCTGAATGGGGAATGACTATGGCTCTAGCCAGGGGTGTTTACCCCTTATCTACACGTTCCCGATTCAAACAAAAAATACAAAAATCTTCAAAGAACCCTTTATAATACAGAGAAACATAATGCTTTTGATTATAGGACTTCTCTTATTCTCAAAAGCTTGTTGCCAGTAGGACATATTATTTCAATAAGATTGTGAGAAATCTAGTTAGCTAAGTGTGACAGATCGGTCGGTGGAGACAATTTAACATTACGTCAGCTAATTCACCTCCTCACAATCATGTTTAAACATAAGATTTCCTAGTAAAGACAAACCCCAAGATAACTGTGGGGCTGATTCAGTGAAACAGTACATATGTCAGCTGATCCAAGTTTAAAATACACCTCTACCCAGATATATCACGACCCGATATAACACAAATTCGGATATAACGCGGTAAAGCAGTGCTCCGGGGGTGGGGGCGCTGCTCGGGTGGATCAAAGCAAGTTCGATATAACGCGGTTTCACCTATAACGCGGTAAGATTTTTTGGCTCCCGAGGACAGCGTTATATCGAGGTAGAGGTGTATAAACTGGGTTATTCTACCAGCAGTCCAAGTATCAGAGATGAAGTTCTCAACTCCACTGGTGAAGGGAGGGATTTGTGCCGTTATGGTTTTAGTTTTATTAATCTGAGGTGTTAATTGTAACATAAGTAAGGATACTTATTTTTTAAATTAGATGCTATTTAACCTGACAGGCCTACTGGACTATTAGAATGTTAAGAATTGCATGTACATTTTCCAATTAGTTGTTTTCCATATCCCACGATAATACAGGTGGTTTAGTGGGACAGCACATGTCTGAACACCCAGATATCCGCAAACTTGGATTTACTGGTTCAACTCTTATTGGTAAACAGATCATGAAGAGGTATTGTATTCATTATATTCAGAAGATGTTTTAGATCTTTTTTTATACTGTAGATTAATCAATGTTTGTTTACTACATTGATGTGCAAACTACATCTTGCACATAACATTAAAATGACATGCAGACTATGGATGGGAATATATTTAATCATTTGTCTTTAATAAATAGTGGAAATATCATTTGCTATTAAGTCCAACTGTCCAAAAACAAAAATAGATATATGCTCTACATTTTCACCAGCTGATCTTAGGGAAAATAATTTCATTACTAAAAGATGTCTGAATGTTAATTTTATATAATTATTTACAACTTTCCGTAGCTGTGCAGTCAGTAATCTGAAGAAAGTCTCCCTTGAACTTGGTGGTAAATCCCCACTGATCATTTTTGAGGACTGTGAACTTGACAAAGCTGTGAGAATGGTAAGGTTACTTCAAATTAAAACATGTTCAAAGCCTTGTTAGTGCATCTTATTAAGAAGCAATGTTCTAATTCCTTCTCTCTTTCTTACATGCACCCCTCCTCAGGGCTTGCTAAAACATGCAGTAGGATAGCCACACTTTAAGCCTCATACAGTATGTTGAAGCAGGGCTCCCCTTCTCTAGGCTGTATGACAACACAGTTTAAACTTTTGGGGCTTATTCAAAAAGACTGGGATGTTCTCCAAAAAAATTAATTGAAAAAGAGTAAAGGTGAAAAGTGTGCTTCCATGGAGTCATGCTAACACTGAAAAAAAATTAATTTTACAAAAAATTGACACTTAAAACCCCTCCAAATGCTAAAAAAAAGTCTGGAAATGAGGTTGCGATTCAGTCAGTTCCCCACTGCCATGTAATCCTTAATGACTCACTATCACCCACATGCCTGACCTATACTTCCCATCCAACCTTAACTTCTGTCTTATAAAATTTGCAAAATATATGCATAGAGGAAAATTAGTAGATTATAAAATCCTATTTCCTATTGAAGGGATCTATTTCCAATATAACACTAGCATATACTACATCACTCATTACAAAAATACTTAGTTGCTACATGATGTGGTTAGTTTAGGCCCTAATCCTGCAGTTAGAGCCCCATTGAACCCAAACAACATTGTGCTATTGCATGAGATACAAAACAGTGAAGCTGACTCTCCAATCCATTTTTTATGATCCAGGAAGAGTTAAATGGGGGCGGCGGGGCGGAAACAGCGTGCACTGTGAAAAGCAAATTGAATTTTGAAAATCTCTTTATGGGTTGATCATCTGAGACATTGCGAGAGCCAGTCAGAAAATGGAAACAAATTGTTTCATGAAAATATTTTTTCCCATGAAAAAAAATGTTTTTCTTTGAAAGTTTTCTGATGGTCACAAGTTAGTAACAGGGGCAAATTGTCCCTCCTCCATGAAGCCTGAGTCCATAGGCTTGATGTAGGGGAGGTTCTTTGTGCATTTGGCAGGATGGGAACACATACTTCTCCACTGGGTCACATGCTGTGACTGCCCTCACAGCCCTCCATAAGGGGAGTGGATCAGCAGAGTTGTGTATTCATCAGCCTTGCTTCCAAACTCCTTTTCCATGATGCTGTACAGTGTCTCTATGGAGCTTCACTCAACAGTGTGCAGGGGGTGTGCACCTCCCTAAATCCTGCCTCCACACACAGCAGCTCCACTGCATCCAGGGCCATCTCTGTTCATGCACATGTTTATGTCGAGAAGGTAGAGGGAAGAAGGGTAGGATTTACCCCAGAGGTAAGAAAACATTTTTATTTCTTTAATGAGTTTTATGCTGATATTTCCCCTTTAAAGAAGAGTTCTATACATTGATTGATTCAGACATAGGAGAAAAAAAAGAGAGAGAGAATGTAGTTCCAGGGAATAGCTGGAGTGGGAAATTAATAAAACCAAGTATCAATATAGTGTTTTCTTCTGACACAGGGCATGGGAGCAGTATACTTCAACAAGGGAGAAAACTGCATTGCAGCTGGAAGACTGTTTGTGGAAGAATCAATTCATGATGAATTTGTTAGGAGAGTGGTAAGATATTTAAAGGGCTCATGTTCAAAATAAATTCTGCAGTAACAATGTAAAGCGAAGATCAAGTCATTTTATACACACACACAAGTTTATGCATCATGCAAATTATTTAAACTTTCAATTGCTGCTGATGCTGGGAAATCACGATTCCTATCATGAAGCAATGAAAAGTGTGTGCTAATGGGAGACACTTGCCCAAGAAATGCAATGAGAAGGGACACACTTATAAAGAGACGTTATCCTATCAACTATATCTGTACATTTATCTAACCAAAAATTGCCAAATTTGTATCCATGAGACTTAAGACCACTGTGAATATGGGAAAAAAATATGGTAAGACTGGAAGTATAGCAGGGATCATACAAGAGTATCTAATGTTCACCATTAAAAATTCAACACTGCTGTGTGAAAACTCAGTTATTTATTGCTATTTAGAATAGGACATAACTTCAGTATCTTGCTTACCACACTATGTTAACTTGAGTTAACAATGACATTTTAAATACCAGACACAGTAACAGAAGAAACTTAAAAATGAATAACTAAAAACAATGGTCAAGATTTTCAAAAGTGACTAGTGATTTTGGGAGTCCAACTTGAAACAACTTAAAAGAGCCTGATTTTCAGAAAGTGCTAAGTACTCCTTTTGAAAATTGGGTCCCTTCAAGTGGTCTTAAACTTGGGCACCCCAACACTAAAGTACCCATAGTCACTAGTCATTTCAAAACAAAATTGGCCAGTGTGTCATACTATGTAACTTTTCATTTTAATTGGGTAACATGTAGGTGGAAGAAATCAAAAAGATGAAAATTGGTGACCCGCTCGATAGAGCCACAGATCATGGTCCACAGAATCATAAGGCTCACCTGGAAAAGCTGCTGGAATATTGTGAAATGGGAGTGAAAGAAGGAGCAACATTAGTGTATGGAGGAAGACAAGTATGTAGACCAGGTAAAATACTACCTGGAAATGTTTTGAATTTTTACATTTTTAAATAAAAGCCCACATGGTTCCCTCTGTTGTGTAGCACAAAGAGGAATAAACTCACGGAAATACAGTACAAAATGAGCTGAAGGACAGCTACATGGTTTCTTTCCCACGGCCACCAAGGTAGAGGACTCTATGAAGTATACCTAAATAAAGTAGGGTGTCATTGTCCTGGAGAAAATCACTTGGCATAAAGACCTGGAAGAAAGAGATGGCTCATACTGAAGAACTCTTCAAATATTTACATGTAAGGAGAAACTCAGCCTGTTCTACAATATTTCTTTGCTAGGACTGGCTTTCATATAGAGACTAAGGGGAATAGTCCTCACCTGATACATACGACTTTCACGGCACAGCTCCCATATACTATTAAAGGAAGTTGTGCAGCTGACACACGAGAAACTAAATTGAGACTTAGGTCAGTTCTACACTAAAAACTTTTGCCGGCATAGTAACATCGGTGAGGGATGGGGTTTTTTGGTGATTTTTTTTTTTTTTGCAATAGTTTTACACTGGCAAAAGCCTTAGTGTAGACGCAGTTATACCGATTAAAAATTACTTTTGCCAGTATAGCTTATTTTGTTCAGGGAATGGTATAACTTATTCCAGCAAAAGCACTTTTTTGTTGGAACAAACTAAATCTTGACTAGGATGGTTTGCTGATATACCTGTACCAGCAAACCTTTTCTTCTGTACACCTGGCCTATTATCGCTAGCAAAGTAGAACTTCTGGTGTGAAAGTCTCTGTACATACTGGTTTTCTTTCTCTAAAGAAAATTTAGAGTGGATATTTACATCTGCTGCTTAGGCTTATACAATACTTAGCTCAGAATATGGAAAACAGAGAGTGTGGTGTGTGGTACTATGTAGGAGAGAATACAAACTAAAAAAATATTTTACTCGCATGCAAATGATGCCCTATCTGTGTCCTCTGTTTAGGTTTCTTCATGGAACCCACTGTATTTACAGATGTTGAAGACCACATGTACCTTGCCAAGGAAGAATCCTTTGGTCCTGTTATGGTAATTTCAAAGTTTAAGAATGGGTATGTTCTGTTCTATTTTAAATAATAGCATTTTGTTTTACTTTATCAGTAAGTAATGCAACCATAGCACCTGGTGCTGTGATCCTGCCAAATCTCATAAGGTCACGCTGAGTCATTGTGCGGATAGGAATCCTCTAAGGAACTGATAGGTGTTGAAGAAAGCATTTAGTACAGACTACTCTTCTCAGTTGCCACAGAATCAAAGCTACAGCAGGGTGGAAAGGGACACTACATTGCTGGAGGCGCCATCTTTTACATGAGATTAAATAGCCAATGGCACTTTTTGCAAAGTAAGGGTAGTTAAATGCAGTGTCCTAACCACGCTACAAAACTTACATTCTTCCTACAGTATCTCAGTTCCCCCTGCAGATTCTGGTGGCTCAGTTACCCTTCTTCGTTACAAAATGTTTGTTGTGTCACATTACTATGTGCTGTTTAACTACAACTGTATTTTGTTCCAGAAGTGGGTATATTCCAGTAAGGGTGAGATAATCCCTGTGTTTAGTTTGTGGACCAGTTTACTAGATTTCAGAGTAGCAGCCGTGTTAGTCTGTATATGCACACTAGTAAACTGCAAAAAGAACAGGAGTACTTGTGGCACCTTAGAGACTAACAAATTTATTTGAGCATAAGCTTTCGTGGGCTACAGCCCACTTCATCGGATGCATAGAATGGAACTGCTCAAATTAATTTGTTAGTCTCTAAGGTGCCACAAGTACTCCTGTTCTTTTTGCGGTTTACTAGAGTACGTCTACACCAGGGGTTGGCAAACTTTTTGGCCCGAGGGCCACATCGGGGTTGCGCAACTGTATGGAGGGCTGGGTAGGGAAGGCTGTGCCTCCCCAAACAGCCTGGTCCCCGCCCCCCATCCGACCCCTCCCACTTCCCGCCCCCTGACTGCCCCCCTCAGAACCCCCAACACATCCAACCCTCCCCCAGCTCCTTGTCCCCTGACCGCCCCTTCCCGGGACCCCCGCCCCCTATCCAATCCCCCTGCTCCCTGTCCCCTGAGTGCCCCAACCCCTATCCACACCCCTGCCCCCTGACAGCCCCCCCAGGATTCCCACCCCCTAGCATTCTGCTCCTCATCCCCTGACCACCCCCTTCCAGGACCCCCCACCCCTAACTGCTCCCTGGGATCCCACACCCTTATCCAACCCCCCCCGCTCCCTGTCCCCTGACTGCCCTCCCGACCCCTATCCACATCCCCGCCCCCTGACAAGCCCCCTGGGACTCCCACTCCCAACCCTCCCTGTTCCCCATCCCCTGACCGCCCCCCCCAGAACCTCCACCCCATCCAACCCACCCCTCTTCCCTGACTGCCCCCCACGACCTCCTGCTCCCTTACCCAACCCCCCCAACCCCTTACCAGCAGCAGGAGCTCGCAGCTGCGACACCCGGCCAGAGCCAGCTGCACTCCCCACGCTGCCCAGCAGGAGTGGCGGGCCAGAGTGCGGCCCGCGTGGCTGCAGGAGAGGGGGGACAGTGGGGGAGGGGCTGGGGACTAGGCTTCCCGGCCGGGAGCTCAGGGGCCAGGCAGGACAGTCCCGCGGGCCGTAGTTGGCCCACATCTGGTCTACAGTGTATGCTTCTTTCAGTGGCATGTAGAGTACATACATGTGTAGCCGCCTAGCACTGGTATAAAAGCAGCATAGACTGTGAGGCATAGTTTAGGCGAGTAAAGCCACATCTTCTCTTAAGGGTATGGGTATGTGCTCAAGTACACACCCTACATAGTTTTCTGCTCACCCCAAGCCACGTCTCCCTGTCTGCACTGCTGTTTTTAGCAGTGTAGTGTTCCGCTATCTCCCCTCTGCTGGAGCCTTTCCCTGTCACAGAAAAAGACTCCAGCAGCAGGGAAAGGCTCTAGCAGGGGGTTTTGCCCATGGCGCGCCCCCTGCTCCTGCAGCAAGGAGCTGCCTCCCCTCTACCACAGTGTGGACACAGCCCACTTTTCACTGTGGCATGTCGTTACAGATACGCTATGTGCTGCCGCCAGTGGTGTGTAGTGCAGGTGTAGCCTTAGTGATCTAGAATGCAATTTACTGGGGTGAGCTTCAGCGGGGGGGAAAGCACTGTATAAACTTAATGGAATTATTTCCAGGGGCCTTAATTTTTCTAGTTTGAAAATATAGTATTAAGCTTTTGACTAAATAGAACACAATCTATGAACTGCCACGTTAAAAAGTTGTTTAATCAAACTCATTAGATGCTGACTCCGTGGTTGTTCTGAGGTTGGAGCACCCATGGGAAAAAAATAGTGGGTGCTCAGCACCCACCAGCCACAGCTGTTTGGCAGCTGGGAGAGGAGTTGGGGGAGGACAGAGACCAGCGGGTGGGAGGGGGCAGAGTGGGGGCAGGAGGAGGCGGAGCAAGAGGGGGGCCTTGTGGGAGGGGGCGGAGCGAGGGCAGGGCTTCCGGGAAGCGGGAGGAGCAGGGGTGGGAAGAGGTGGAGTGAAGGCAGGGCCTTGGGGGAAGGGGTGGAGTGGGGGTAGGGCCTCGGGGCAGAGTAGGGGTGATGCACCCCCGGGGAAAAGTAAAAGTCGGCGCCTATGATCAAACTTATTCAATTTTTGTAAACAACTAAGGATATTTAAAGCTGTTTGGGGATAAGGTACAAATAGAAACTAGCACAGTGAAGATGGCGTGAAAAGGTTTATTTGTTAAATGGAAGGCTTTGCTTTTTAAGAATTTATTCCTCAACAAAATGACAGTTAGGGTTAATTTTAGCAAAAATTAATGTTCTGCTGCAAAGCTCTGCTTTGCAAACGTTTTTGTACTTCATTCCCTGAATTCCACTGGAGCTGCACAAAGCTGATATGTATAATACAATATTTTGTTTGAGGTTTTTTGGTATAAACCTTAAGCATTCTGCAATCTAATTTACAAACTGTATAAATTAGAGACAGTAATGTGAATTTTCATATATCTGACTGATTAACAGTAGACTAGTACGTAATAGTCATGTTTTCAAAACAGCTAAATAGAGATTAGAAAGAAAAAGGGTGTGGAAAGAAGCTGTTGCACTGCAGCTAGAAGGTTGTTTGTTACATCAGAGTCTCTGTTATGTTTCTCTTACTGTCAGTAAAGCCAAATGATTTATTTTTATTATTATTATAGGGATGTCGATGGAGTGTTAAAACGTGCAAACAACACAGAATATGGCTTAGCTTCAGGGGTTTTCACAAGAGACCTAAGCAAAGCTCTGTATGTTAGTGAAAATCTAGAAGCAGGAACAGTTTTCATTAACACATATAACAAAACTGATGTGGCAGCACCATTTGGTGGATTCAAACAATCTGGCTTCGGAAAAGATTTAGGTAAGTAGTTTGGTTTCACCCCCCCCCCCCCACACACACACATACACACGGGTGGTTTAAACTTTTTTTTTTTTTTTTAAAGCCTTGTCCAGTTTCTATCACAGGAGGAAAAAAGCCCATAAAAGTCCTGATAGATCAAGTTTTACACTTAAAAAATAGCAAGGAAAAATGTAAGAAATAACACCATTGTCAGCTAGGGGGCTAATGGCATCTCTGTGATCCCTTGCTGGTTTGAGTGCACCCTCTCAGGTGTCAGGCCTCATGCCTTTACCTATCTCAGGGTGGAATTTTGCAGTTCTAGTCTTCAACCGGATTCTGGCTTACAGTATCCCCCTTGTATCAACTGTGCTCACCCAGCAGATCCAACTGAATTTGGACACTTACGATTCTTCCATTTGGGAGTCTGTGACCAGCGGCATACAGTAATCAGACAGGCTTCCTTAACCAAAGTGTTTATTTTAGTTGGAGAACAAGTTTATTAGAGAAAAAGGATTATAAAAATAGATAGTCTACATTGCATGTCTACCTTACCTAAAGGCATAGCATCCCCTAATAGTAACCTGTGCAGTCCTAACGTCTTAAACACCCCCAGCAGGTCCTTGTGTCTAGTGGCTCATCTACACTGCACTGCTAACTACCCCATGTGGACACTACTGGTGTGAACTAAAAGGTACCTAGTTCACATTAATGTATTCCTCTTTCAAACGGTCTTTAGACCCAATGATTCTGACATTGTCCGTCAGTGACTCTTCGGTGTCAGTTGATAGGTTTCTACCTGGAGTCATCCCCTCTTTCCTGCCTGTGTTCCAGACAGCCCTCATGCAGTAAACATGCAATAACCAGGCTAACAAACAGCATTCATATAATAAATCATCAGTGGGCAGCTCCAAATGCATCACAACCTTCATGGGAATTATCTTTGGTCAGTGGTTTTCTGGTTGTTTGGTTCTCACCAGCCCTTGTTTGACATAGTTCAAGGAAATTGACCATGGTCTCTTCCAGACCCAAGCATACACTGAAGCTCCTGTCTCCCTCCAGGCCCCCGTTATAAACTCCCCTATCATTTTCAAAACTTACTTCATTTCAGACTGGCTTAAAATCAAAACCAGATTTTATTTGGCAAATTAAACACACGAGAATAACGTTAAGAAGGTAGTTAAACTAACATTAGGACTAATATTACTAAAAAAATCACTAGACAGGAAATAAGACTTAAGAATCCATTTACCCAGGGATCTTAAATTGTGTGTCCCTGACCCATACTAGTGCTGAAGCTTACTTTTGGCTTCCATTCACCTTCAGCGCACCCTGCCCACCCGCATATCTTTCAGTAAAAACCCCACTCTACTTACTTATAGGTAATGTGGCTATATCTTCACACAGTGGCCCCCTTTGTATCAATATCAGTTTCCATTTCCATTGACTCGTGTTTTTTCATACCCCTAACATACACATACATGACGCTTCTCTACATAACCCTCTCACTGCCATTAACATTCTCACATCTTTGAGACTGACTTTTGCCAACATATTATGCGGCTATTTCTCCCAAACTATTCCATACACATCATGTAGCTTTCTAAATCTAATTACTCTGAATTTCTTGAGCTTTTTGACTTTTAAAGGAGATAGATGATTTTCAAAAATACCTTAGTGGGAGTGGTTGAGTGCCCAGCACTTTTGAAAAACTAGGCAGGTGCCTAAATAAATATGGATTTAAAAGCCCAACTTTGGTTTATTTAGTTTCTCACTTAAACATAGCCATAGAATACAAAGTACAGATGCTCCCCGGGTTACGCAAGACCCGACGGACGCAAATTCGCACTTATGGGAAAAGTTCCGTAAGCCAGAAATAGGCTTTTCGAGTTGCGGAAATTTTTGCGTTATGTACGGGTATAAGTTTCCAACTTACACAAAATTTGAGTTACGCAAGGCTTTCTGGAACGGAACTATTGTGTAAGTCGGGGGGCGTTTGTATTAAGGTGTTGATATTTATATAGCAGATAAAATTTATATTGGATACACCAGGGAGTATGTCAGAAAATATTTTGAGCAAAAAGAAATAAAAAAAATTACCCTCTCCTGCAAATAACAAAAAATTCATGTCTATAACCCATCCTACTTACAATGGTATTATTAAGCTTGAGGTGGTTTTTTTTACAACTCTGACATGTCAATTTGATGCTGTTGTGGGGTATTTTTGAGAGGGGGTGCCAGTTTTTCCTTTCTGTTTTTTTAAGCATAAAGCAATCTATTTCCCCACTAAGGCTAGCTAGATAATTTTGGTCAAACTTTCCAGAAACATTCACCTTTAGGCAAAACTCAAGAATGTAAGATGTCAGTCAGAGAGCCAAGTGCACCACAGGAGGTCTTGACTTAGTTCCCGAGGACCTTGTAAAGTGCAAAGGGGATACAACCTCTAAATGTTCACAGGAAGAAGCCCCATTATAATGCACCTTAGGAAAGCTGCAACTCCAAAATGTCTTGGGGAGAGGGTGTGTGAGGGGGAGAAGCTCTTCAGGGGAACTTCTAAAGTGGATAGGACAGTGTTTTGGTGCTATAATAGACAGTAATCAGATTATGATATATTGTATTATTGCTAAAGTGATTTTTTCAGCTTCAAAAAGAGTTTAATTTACCTCAGTAGAGTCAATGGGATAAGAGTGGGGTATTTTAGAATATACTCAGTCTATTTATTTAAAAAAAAAAAAAAAGTAATTCCTTGGCCACAAGCTATTGGAACATGCGAATGCAAAGTACCTAAGCACTTAGCAAACAACAGTTCAGAATTCCTTTTAAGTGGTTAAAACTAAGTCTTCTGACTACTCCTTTAAACTGGTGGTATAACTGCTTCACATTTTGATCTTCCATAGGTGAAGAAGCTCTTCATGAGTACCTCAGAACTAAAGCTGTAACTGTGGAGTATTAAAGAAACAGCTCAGCCTGACTGCCAAAGCAACCCCCTTGCTGACAGCCTCAATTTTAAGTACTGTTAAGCACTTAATACAATGCCCAGGATATACTTTCTGAAGTAGTACCACTAACAGAAAGCAAATAGTATTTATCCATGAAAAATTGTAAGGATCAAATTCTAGCCCCATTAAAGTCACAAGGAATTTGGCAACTTACTTTAGTGGAACTAGAATTTGGTCTTTACTTATCTAAATGTCCACATACCTAAACCTTTTGAGTTGTTCTTAACTCAGGCAATGGGAGATTGCTTATGTAAGACTCAAGGATTGGGCCCATGATGTGCCTAAATTTTTTATTAATATGAGATGTATTTTACATGATCATTTTAAACCTTTTAACATACATTTAGTCATTAAAATTCTCTTAAAACTGTACTTTAAAATGCACATTATACAGTTTTGTTATAAAACAGTTCAAGTTTTTCAACAAAAGTATACAGCTCTGACTTTTCAGCAGTATAGGAAACCTTAGTGCCATAAAATGTAAATAAATGCAAGAAAGTGCACTTATTATGATCTTTGTTAAACTATGAATATTAAGCTGAAAGTTATTGAAAATATTTTCTATCTTCTTGCGAATGTGGAATGTGCAATTTGTATGGGATTGTGAATGGTGGTTACATTAATAGATTTAAACCAGCTGTGTCTGTGTATATGTCTGCTATCACTATTGTACGTGGCATAATTATTTCACATTACATGCACTCGCTTTACCTCAAGGAGAATTTATCACAAGATTATGGCATTAGGCAGTTACTATGCTATAAAGTCAGATATTACCCGTATTTTTTACTTGTCAAGTACTAAAAAGAAAGGATATCTGATATAATGACCAAGTGTTTTTTTCAAGATAATGAACATAACTTGGCACATTCTGTACTTCAAGAAACATTTTAAGAGAAACTACTGTACCACAAAGCTACAGCATGCTACAGCCAATATTTTAATTAGTTTGTGAGATCAGCTGAACAGTGTTCCAAATGTATGCACCTTCTGTAAACAGGTATTACAGCCCAGTGAAGTTTTTTCAGTGAACAGTAAGTTTCCTGAAAACTACAGTTTTGGTGAGACCAAAGCCATGTGTAAATTTAGCAAATAGTTGCTGCTGGGTTTGGGTTTTTTTCCTTCTAAAGGAAAATATTTAAAGTCTAAACAAACTGTTTCACAGTGTCAATTAGAATTGACTCAAACAACATTGTTTTGTTTTGGCAAGAAAAAACAAATTGTCAGTTTGAAATGAACCAATTTTGTTGTTTTTTTCCAGTTCAGCTACCAAACGAAAAAAAACAATTATTTTTTTTGCTCATCTCTATCTGGTATCACAGGAACAAAATTATCTGTTTATGTTAGCTCTATGTAATTATTTTCCTACTTAAATAGCCCAATGTTAGACACAAGTTAATGTGGAATATGTTTTTGTAGTAAAAGTGGTCTAGCTACAAGACAATTTTTTACCTTCAATTTACCAGGCACATCAACATGGTCCACAAAGTTAAATATTCAGTTCTGGACACAGTTTACACAGCCATTAAGCAAGGTTTATGAAGTGTGACATTATAAACAAGCTGTATCCACATTGTGCAATGTACCATTAAATCACCGCATAATTCCTTCACTTTGCATGTTGACAAAGTGTATTTGAAATGCAATTGAGTAAAATTAGTCTATACTGCAAACCTTAGTATAAAAACAGTATCCAGGCTATCCAAATAAAGGTACCTTAAAGTGTTTAATTTACCATAGAAACAGTACCTTCAACAGACAACCATACTAGTTCCCCAACTGCTTTGGATTTTGTCAGTTGACAGATATTTAGGAGGTTCTTTGATACAACAGCCAGAGACACAAGGAATAATGTGTATAGATATGGGTCATTAAATAGTTGTGCTGAGTAAAACTGGCATGTCTAAATCTCCTTCCAGTGGTAAGCAATGTTAAAGTGATGTGTGAGACTAGCAGTCCAGCGTTGCATCTTAGGCCAGTTTCCCTCCAGATTTAAAACTGTTTGAACAGTTTAATTCTAATGTACCATAATTAATAAGTGGAAACTAACCACCTCAGTACTGTGTCTTATACAGCCCATATCCCAAGTGCTGCTGCTTTTCAGAAAGATTGATTACTAGCAACATGTGTCAAAGGACCTGCTTTGGACTAATAATTTAGCTAAAATAACCCATAAATTGAATCACAATAGTAATTGATGCCAGTAAGATTTTATTTTTCCTATTAATAAAGAAAGATAAGAGGACATGCTCTTCAACAAAGACTGGAAATAGTATTGATCATTATCTTGGTCAAATGTTCCAAACAGTATTGATTTTAAATCCTGTGCTTAACTGCAGCTTGCTAGTCAATTTTCTGTAGCTAAGTAAATACAGTAATATAACCTTAAATTATTATATAAAATACTGTTTCTTTGAGAAACAAGTTATAATCTACAAAGGCATTCAGATACATCATTTGAAAGGCAAAACATGACTAAACTAAATACAGTAAAATAGCCCAAATTGCTCCCTATAAAATTAAGGAGGCAAGAATAAATTAGGCATATTTCCTGACTTAACTCTTGAAGCACTGAGTGTGGTCATTTTTAGTATTTGCTAGTGAAGACAAGTATATAATACTTTACTATCTTAGCATATTTATTCCCATCTCAAAACACAAGCTGTGTCTTCCTCCAATCTACTTATTTCCCTCTCCTGAAGTAAGTACCCCCACACCCTAGTAACCTGTTCTTCACCTCGCAACAGGCCAAGAACTTCACACTTCTTGCCAAGCTTTACAGTGCAGCCTCTCAAATTACTAAGTTTCATGCTGTTTCTTCCCCACCCTGACCTCCTGATGCAACTCATTTCTATATAGCTTGGGGGATAGGTCTGGACTTAGTTCTAAGAGCTCCAGCTTTCCTCCCAGCCATAAGAAACTCTCCACCCTACTAAACACAGTACTTCCAGCGACATATGTGACTGGGAATTCGCCAGTTTCCAGGTGACACACACTTGGAAATTAGCTAGTTTTCTAAGGGTGAAGCCTTCAAAGTAGTCAGGACACATGATACATTCAGAAATGGAAATCTGAAAATAGTTCTATCTACTCATTCACTTTGCTGTCCAAAATTTCTATTTTGCCCTTTTCTCCTTTTTGTTTTGGAAGTTTTATCGTGTCTATGGTAACTTCATCAGTTGCACAACTGTCCTCCTCAGATTCTGAGCTGTCTTCTGAAAGTATTTCTTCTTCATCCGTGTCAGAACCACTTAATTCAACCAAGGCTACATTCTGCAAGAAACAACAGTTCTTAAAAAATGAACCCATATATCTACATATTGCTTTTATGATTTTTGTTAAAAAAAAAAAAAAATCCAGGACCTTAATACACATGAACATCCTTACCATAAAGTCATCAATTATGTGCTATGCAAAAAATAAGTAGACCTCAGTAGACTGGAAATATTTGCAAGTTTTTTAGGGATCACTATAAACATGAAAGTTTAAATATGAAAAATGAGTTTATACATTCTAAGCACCTGTAGTGCTCAGTAATAAAGTAATAGTTTTTAAATAATTCACAGGAAGCAAAAAGAGAATAGTACATTGATGAATTCACTTTGTCTAAAGCGAAGGCTTCTGGTTTAAACCGACAAATGAAGGGAGCAAAAGGCTGGATTTTTCAGACAAGAATCCAAGTCTGAAAATATAATTTTCAGGGGGCTGTCTCATATTTTGCTAATGTAATTCATGTCATAACAGTTTAACGTTGTCATCCACAGTCACAGTTGTGCCACTGATAAGTATTCAAGACAATCAGAATATTTTTTAAACAAAAAACTAGGGCTGTCGATTAATCGCAGTTAACTCACCCGATTAACGCAAATGAATCGAAGTTAATTACAGTTTTAATTGCGCAGTTAAACAATAGCATACCAATTGAAATTTATTAAATAGTTTGGATGTTTTTCTACATTTTCATATATATTGTATTCTGTTTTTTAATTGAAATCAAAGCATATTTTTATTACAAATATTTGCACTGTAAAAATGATAAACAAAGAAATAGTATTTTTCAATTCACCTCATACAAGTACTGTAGTGCAATCAGTCATGAAAGTGCAACTTTCAAATGTAGATTTTTTTTGTTACATAACTGCACTCAAAACCAAAAAGTAAAACTTCAGAGCCTACAAGTCCACTCAGTCTTACTTTTTGTTCAGCCAATCACTAAGACAAACAAGTTTGTTTACATTTACAGGCTCATAATGCTCTTCTTATTTAC